TAAATGAATATCCTTGATAACTTGTGTCTTTCAACTAATAACTACTTATTTCGCGCGCTACGCTGACGCTGGTGGGGGAGCATGTGGTAAAACACATAATATATAACTACGTAAACTACATAAATAATAACGGCTACAGCCAATAATAAATATACACAATTGCATAACAAAGCATACAACCAATAAAATACATAATACCATTTCAGATAAGGATATGACAGTAAAATATCCTTATCACCATTCTACCATTAGTCATAGACAGGGACAGAATTTCTATAATAAGGAAATAGAAAAAGAAAACTCTGTGTTACCTCACAGAGTATCTTCAAATCCAAATATACCTGCTGTAATCATAAAAGATAGACAGCCATTTTTCTGTGTAACATACACAGAATATAGTTTCTCAAGCATAAGATAGTGATAAGCACAGTAACAGCTTATCACAATTATAAATCATTACCATCTAACAATTCATATAAATAGGACAATTTCTAGATAGATAGTTTTCCTTTAGTTTATTTTGAACCTTTAACCTGGAATAAAACCACACTGGATATTTAACTTATTCCCTGTTTTTATTTTTATTCTTTTTATTTTTCTGTGTAAACCAATCCCGTTTACCACAACGATATCACCGATCGAGAAGAGAATCTTCTTCGATCAAATCAGGAACTATGAGTAATAGAAACTTAATATTAATTGTTCTCTTAATGGATTTGCTACCCCGAGAGAGAATAGAACAGCTATTAGTATAAATGGTTCATTTACTTATATATTGATATGATTATACTGCTGATAAAGAGTATAAAGAAATAGTGTATGAATTAATGGATACCTATCTTCTACAACCAAATATATAAATCTCGATAAGGCATTCTATGTTTGGGATTGTATTTTATGAATTAGAAAATTAATGCATAAATGATCAACGATAACTATTATGCTTTACTGCAAATTACACTTGACAAACAAGAATGTATCTTTTGACAGTATCCGTTACACGATCTTACAAAGAAGTGTGCCACTGCACTAAGTATTTGTCAGAATACTCGTGTCCCCGTTTCACACATCAGGGACAACGTTACCTTTAATCGATTCTATCGAGTAGAATTCAGATAAAACAAGATGGAAGACTAAAATATAGATATATTCTAAAATCAAAAAGGTTGACTCATCATAAATGCAGGAGATGTTGGCAATATCAAAGGATCGCTTTCACTGACTCTACATCCTATCCTACATTAAATACAACTAAATACGATAATGATACCACTGATGTTAACCCTAAAAATACTCCTCCGCGTGGTGATTTAAACACTACCTATTATATATCCAAAATCCTTTATTGATGATTTACAACTTATATCTGATTTGAATATTATGGCTACTACTCTACCACTATACCCTGTCAAATACAATGACGAAGTTATACAAGTTCTGATTGATTCCGACGCAAGTGAAAACTATGTCTCCCCTCATGTAATTAGATCCCTCAATAATCGTAATCTCATCCCTGTTGGCTGGTGGTATGGTATCCCAAATCAAGCAAAAGGTGGAAATGATTATGAATTTAAATGGTGCTCAAGACAAGATCACGGCCTTTGTATTTACTACTAAATTTGTTTTGATCCTTGGTCGTTCTTAGTTAAACCAGACTAGACCTTTGCCTGATTGGAACACAGATACCTGGCATTTAAATAATGGACGTGTCAAATTAACACCATGTACAAACATAAATCGTTACTCACCTACCTATCTTCCTAATTTGAAGTATCTGATCACCCACAAACAAGCAGATCGTTTTATGAAAAAAGGCGATGAAAGCTTCCTTTTTGTTATCAAGCCCGTCCATCCAGATACTGCATCTTCACTCCATAAAACCGCCTATTGGAATGATTTAGTCAGAACATATACCGATGTTCTCAAGGACGCTCTACCTGACCTCCCACCTGATTGTGGTATTTATCATTTGATAGATACTAGTGATGCTAAACCCGTCTCTCGTCCTCCTTACAAAATGAGTCCACTCCAACTTGAAAAATTACAAAAACAGTTAACCGAACTTCTGAAATTAGGATCAATCAAGCCTAGCTCTTCTCCTTGGGGTGTTGATGTATTTTTTTTTTTAATAAGCCTGATCCTGGATCCAATAAAACCTGGCTCGCTTCGCATGTGTGTTAATTGTAGAATAGTAAACAAATACACGGTTCGTAACAGTTCAAGTTTACCACGTATTGAGGAATGCTTAGACAAGTTGAGTGTCGCGCGTTATTTTACTAGTTTTAGATTTGCGTAGTGGTTACCATCAAATTCGCATTGCTCCTGAAAATGTTTCTAAAACTGCTATAATACTCGTTCTGGACAATTCTCATGGCTCGTTTTACCTTTTGGGTTATGTAATGCTCCCCCGGTTTTCCAAACGTTGATGAATTCTTGGTGTTTACATTGACAAGACTACGATCGTTTATCTCGACGACATTGTGATTTATAGCAAGACTTTAGAAGAACACAAGATTCAGGTTCGTTAGATTCTGGATGTGTGGATAAAAGAAAACTCATAGCCAACTTATTAAAAAATGTAAGTTTTGTAAAAGGGAGTCCATTTTAGCATCTCTCCAAACCCCGAAAAGGTACAGGTGGTACAACAATGGCCAAGAATGAAAGATGTGCAAGAAGTACGTCAGTTTACTGGTGTTGCTCAATTCCACAAAAGGTTTATCAAGTAACGTACCTCTATTGTTACTTCCTTAACAAACCTAACCCAAGGTACAAGTATTAAATCACGACTGATAGTTTGGAATAACGATTGTCAAATCAGTTTTGATAGGTTAAAGCAATTATTATCTTCCAGTCCTGTTTTACAAGTTGTGCATATGGATAAACTCTTCCATATGGAAGTTGATGCTTCCGATTGTGGTTGTGGCTCTATTTTACTTCAACCTGATGATGATCCCAACCTACCCTGGCATCCACTTTGTTTTAAATCAAAGAATTTTGCTGATTCCGAATCCAAGCTTCCTGCTCAAGAAAAAGAATTATTAGGCATCTTACATGCGTTACGTATCTGGTGTTTCCAAGTCGAAGGATCCCCTAAAGGTTACATTGTTTACTCTGATCATTTACCCTTACAATATTTTCACTTTTCTCTGAAGAAAATCCACCGAATCGATTTAGCAACATGGATCAATAAATTGGGATTGTACTCACCTGTCATTTTGTATAAACCCGGAAAAAAAAAATACCGTTTCTGATATTTTGTCCCGTATGAATTTCGATTATCTATATGTTACTTGGACTCAATTACTTGCTAAACTTCGAAGCGACTGGCCCATGCTATCAATTCCTAAAACACGGGCAGAGGTAAAATTTACTAAAGTCAAAGCCATACATGATAAAGAGGAAAAATATTTTCATGTTACTGCTAATCAAGTATATCGTAAGATTATTGCTGTAGATGCACAGACTGGTCTAAAACTTGTTCCTTTTTTTTTTTACCTTTTGCTCAACGTGCTGATACTGTTTCTCAATACTGTGACGGTTGAAATATAGAAAATAGATAAAACAGAATAAAAAAAGAAGTAATAAGAAATGAGTCTCTATTAATCTTTTATTAAAGTTATCGAGAGAAAGTCATCGCTAAAGGGAGGACGCTTTTTATATCAAACATCTGGGAAATTGAATCTGGTAGGGGATAAGCAGTAGTTTGTTTCTATCTTCTAAAACATGGCAATTACAATTACATGATCTTAAGTCTATCAATATTTTCTTATATTGATTGTCCTGAATGATTAAGTGAAAGATTCTCATTAGCTGGTACTTCGGTAACAGATTAATGAGAGTCAAAAACAACCAATAATAATATAATTCCCAATATATAATCTGTAAAAAGATTATACTGATAATATGAGAGTTTTACTCGAATATTATAATTTAACCATATTGAAGATCATTCTATACGTTATTTATTGGAGGAAATACAATAAATATCATGATTCTTTCAGTCATGTTGGTTACAAGTGTTTGTTAAAGATACTAATTCGCCGTTTCTGGTGACCATCTATACGTCTGGATATTTAACAATGGATTAGTGTATTCCCCCTATTGTCAAGTGAATAGTCGAAAATGCCTTGCTCATGATGATGATGTGATAATTGAGGATAAAAAGAGAAAGTACATTGGAAAATAAAGCCAGTAAAGAAATGACTCTCTCTAATCCTTATTATTATAAGTTGGAGAGTTCGTCATGATAAAAATAGAGGACCTTTTTATATTCCTGGGCAGCTCGAATTAACTGTTTACCCGCAAACTGGGAAATGGTATAATTGGATTTATAAGTCAGTTACATATAAAATATAGCTTATTGTTATATACAAGGAACTAGGCGACTCATATCCAGCACTTCTAGTGCATTATTATTTATTCATTCAATGACAGGATCCTTGATTGGATTACTAAACAATTTTATGAGGAACTAGAAGCTTCGGCAGCTACTCCACCACTTAAGGAACGATTATAAAATCCGATCTCAGTTTGACATATGAGGGAGCTGGTACTGTGTCGCACCAATAGGAATGTATTCGCAATATAGGGTATAGGTATTATAATTCAGTGACAAGTTAAGAAGTAATTATATTTGTGAAATTAGGCGTCAAATACGACAGTGAATAATGAAAGAAATGTGATGAAGACCTCAAAACCAATTTGGTAAGGCGAAGGAAGACCAAAGACTTTTAAACCAAAAAATAAATAATAAATAAACAATAAGCCTAATAGATTCTGATTATTGTATCGCCGAAAATTCATTTTATTACATTTTGTCCAAAAGAAGTAAACAACTTGCGTGAAAATCAAATTTTTCAACTAGCTGTGTATACCAAGATTATAAAAACTGCACTCCCCCCTCCCCGCACCCTACCCCTACCACATATATAAATCCCATCTCCTTTCTTGCATCTCTTCTCCTTTTTTTTTTTCTTCTTTTTTTTTCCAAGTATAGAATAATATTTTAGCTATGGCAAGCGTATTTTTACTATCTTTTTTTGTAAACAGGTAACATTTCACAAGGAAACGTGTGTGTAACTAAACTTTTTTTTTTTTGTAATTAGTATCGCTCAGTACCATTATAAACCTCAAAAACCATGTGAGACTTTAACCGATGTTTATAATACAGCAACATATCTTTGGTCTAAAGGAAATTACATTGAATCATACCGATTATTTTTTGAATTGGAGCATGGACACCAGTTTAAAGTGAGTATGTGTGCTTGGTATCAAGTGCAATGCCTTATTCGCCTGGATCACTGGAGACAGGCCATCGCCAAGTGTCACGAGTTAATGGAACAACAACCTACAACATCTCAGTGGTATTTAATTGCCAGTGAAATCTATTTGAAACAGTCAGATTTTACAATGGCACGGGAAGAGTTATTGAAGGCATCGCTTCATGTTCCTGTTACGGATGACGCGTATCCTGATATTTGTCTCTTGAAAAGGATCACCTTTGAAGGCGTACAGCAACATGCACAACGTATAATCCGATGTGATTTTTTGAATGTCATACCGTATGATATTGCTTGTGACGTATTTAAATGTTTGGACTTGAATTCGCTAGTAAGATGCACAAGAGTGTCTAAAAAATGGAGACATTTCTTAATTTCCAGTTTCCATCTTTGGAATGAGCTATATTTCTCAAAAAGAGCAGCCCAACTTGAAATCAAAACAATTCATACCTATCTAAGTAGACTTAAAAGAACAGGTCTTACAAAATTGTCTATAAGACATCAGCAGTTAGATGGTGATGGCATACTCATGGCTTTGACACAACATGAGTGCTACCGGTTAAAAAGCTTAAGCAAGTAAAAGGAGTGGGGGGTTTGTATACTTATAAAAACTAACGTATATGCAATAGTCCTATCTGATATTATTTGTACACCTGCATTATTTTTTAATGTATTGGAGTACATCGGATCGACACTTTGCACATTACAATGGGGCGGCGTATCCATTCGACTTAATGACATTATTGATAGTCTACCCAAGATATGTGTTCAATTAAAAAAGCTAGTGGTACATGATTGTTTCACCTCTTTACATGATGTACAATTGCATAATGCCGCATTACATCGCTTAGAATATTTTGGAGAATCATTCCCCGCATCTTTTATTGAATCCATCAAATCATTACCAACCTTAATCTGCCTAGAAACATTGGAATTATCTGGAATTCATGGGTTTACAGCCAGCCACCTTACAAACATTTTGATACGATGCCCAACACTTGTTCGACTCGTGCTAAATAAATGCCTTGTAAATATTATCCCTATATTTAATATACTTGCCATCGCCTGTCCAAATTTACAATACTTTGAATATGATCGAAATCGATATTGTCAGCAGTTTGATATCTTTCACCATCAGCAAAGAAGATTAGGGATCGCCATCTCAAGTCAGCAGCCTAAACGTTTAGAGCAGCATTTGATTAAAAAGAAATGGATCGGGTTGAAAATAAGACTAACGAACATGTTGACGGATATAATTGTACAGCATATATTGTATGATGACACAACCAGGGGTTCATTGCAAGTATTGGATCTGAGTGGTAATTTGCTTATAACTGATCATGGGTTATTATTGGAGAATTATCCAATGAAGAATTTAAAATCACTTTGCCTGAAAGAATGTTTTGGTCTCTCCTCCAAAGGCGTTGAACAAGCAATCCAGCAAAGTCCATTGTTAGAAACGATTGACTTGTCCTGTCTATCCATCGTCAATGATAATATTTTATACGCACTAGTGCAATGCAAGCGTCTTTCTATTGTCGATCTTTCTTACTGTTCACTATCTCTGGTTTCGGAAGATGCAATTATATACCTCATTGAAAATAGAAAAGACACTTTGAAAAGGCTCATTTTAGATTACACTACCTTTGTTTCTACAGAGCTAATCGTACTCACAATAAAAAAATTAAAGAGAGGCATCGTTTAAAAAAAAAAGGGTAAAGCATGTTCGTCACGCTAAATTTCATTTTGGAATAGTTAGATCTTATTATTATTTGATTTAATGGGTCAAGTCATATTATAAAAGTCTTCGTTGTCTATTGATTATAGGTCCATATGTGTTTTTTTTTGTGTATGATTCCGACAAACAAACAAAAAACTCCACTACAGGCAGTCAAATATGCTCGTGTTTTTGTAATTTCTATATTATAAAATTACAATGTTGTGCCTGAATAACACACTTTTCTGTATCACATCCAACGAGCAAGAAGCTGGGATGAGTGGTAGGAAATGCAAATTTAAAGAGCGCAGTTCGTGACTCCAAAAAAGAAAAAAAAAGAGAGAGCAACCGGCCTTCCAAGTAAGGTGTTATCCTTTATTGTACGCGTCTTCTTTTTTATACACGACCATGTCTGCTGTACCAGCCATTGAGAGAACAGCTGAATATGAGAAGTTCATGAGTGACTTGAAAAAGTTTCATGATCAAAAAGGGTATAAAATTAAAATCGAAAGACTCTACTGCGTGCATGTGTGTTTGGATCATTTTAACCTTTTTTTTTTTATTATTGATAGAACTGTTTTACAGACCGAACCTGTATTAGGTGGGAAACGACTTGATTTGTTAAAGATTTATAAGACTGTGATAGAAGCGGGTGGATATGAAAAGGTAACGGATGAGTTTATTTATCAGTTACGAACGGATCGACTCAAACCCCCTAGTAGGTTACCTTAAACCGTGGTTGGAAACAAGTGGGCGATCCCTTTCACTTTCCTGTCACTTGTACAAACAGTGCTTATTCTATAAAGTCCTTTTATACAAAATACCTGGTATAATTTTTGCATAGACTTGGCTTTTTAAAAATAATAACTCATCACCTTGTGTATAGTTGGGTTGGGAGGAGGAACATTATTGGAAGAGACCATGGAATCCACCACCCGATTTATTAGCTAATTACCAAAAAGCTTCTTCACCTGCCCCCACACACCATTCCAGAGAACTAAATAGACAAACAGGAACAGCATTTACGCAACCAAATAGAACCTCTCAACAACATTACCAACCATTGCCTTCCTTACAACAACAACAACCCGGGTTTTACCCTCCTGCCATATTTATGGATCAAGAATTCCGTACCCGTATCCTCTTATCATTACAATCCAGTCTACCCAATGAAGTCGACTGGGCATTCAACACATTAATCAAATTCTCATATGCATCCGAAAACTTCTGTCTCGACTTCATTCCGACCTTGATTGATTTACTCTTGGATTTTACCGTGGATTTCTTCCAGTTACAAATCGAAGTCAACACTACGACAGATTTATTTTGTAGCAAACCCAAGCAAGAAGCGTATGAGCGTGTGCTTCAAGTATTTCATATTCTTCGGAACTTTTCCTTTTTGGAGATGAACATCCGTCGTTTAGCTCTTCACGATCGACTTCGATTTCTATTGATGAAGGGGATTGCGTTACCACCCAGTTCACAGTATGGAGAATTAAGTCGACATTGTCTTGATATCTTGGAAAATATCGCACCTCAAGTATCCTTAATGAACCGTGACGATGAATACTTTACAACCATGACCCAACTATTATTTTCCAACGACCGAGCATTTATTTTGGGTGCAATTCGTGCTTTGACCCGTGTGGCCGTGACAGAAACAAATGAACGGGTGTTGGGATTTGCGGACTTGGATGTGATTGGTAGAATGGCTCAACTCTTGATTGTGGATGACGAGGAATTGGAAGCGGCTACACTGGAATATCTGTATCAGTATTCGAGTTTGAGAGGAAATTTTTCAACCGAGTTGGTGAAATATTATCCTGGTAATCTGATTGGATTATTGACGGGATTCTTGTCATATAAATCGTCCTTGGCACCTCCTTCCAGTTCAGCTATCGGGACATTGCATGGTATACCAGCAGCTCAAATGACACGCATTGAAACAGGTGGTGAACAACCTTCTATTCCAGACTTGACGAATTATTCACATTTAGACGAACCTTATCGATGTCTCGGATGGTAAAGATAAACATTATAAAGTGGGGACTATTTCAACAGATCCTAATTTTTATAAATCATAGGTTAAAGGATCAATTGCTGAGTGGTGGGGATGAAGATATTATCGTTTTAAAAGATATTTTCTCAGATTATCAAAAACTATTTGGATCCGAAAAGCCATTGGGTATGAAGGAATTTTACACGGTATTGAAAATTGCGTTCCCTCAACCACCCAGTGTGGAAGAATCCGTGACCAATAGCACGTCACCTTTAGACACAGTACTTCAGAATGTACGTTATTCACCCACTAGAAGAAGAGATGGTAAGTCGATGACAAAAGAAAAGAAAAAAAAAAAGGGAGAAAAGGAGAGGTAAACATAGATACTGACCCAGAACAGGACCTATCTGTCATTGGAATGGATGTAACGAAAGTTTTGATAGCACGATTGAGCTTCATAAGCATATTATCAAGGATCATGTTGAAGGCAAACCACGATGTGAATGGATGAAGTGTACACGAGATTTCGAAGGAAAGGGTATTCAACATATGCGTACTCATTTTGCGGGCAAAATAAAGAAACAAAATAATAGCAAGAGCAAGGTATTCACGATTGCAAAAATCCCCACGGATGATACGGAAGTGTCTGGTATTCCATTGACCTCGGCTTTATTACTAAGAAATTTGGCAAGATACAAACAACATCATACATTTTATTTACCTTATGAAAGCGAATTGACACTCTTGGCTATTCAGAGACCCAAAGTGTCGAAATATATCTTGACCGTTTTGGGTGAATTACAAGCCAATTAATATGAAACGATAATAAAAATAAAAAAATAAACAATAAGAAAAAAAAGGAAAAAATAATATATATTTTTATGTACAATTTTTATTTTAGTTATTTACAAACATTGATGTTTTTTAAACATTGGAGTTGAAATCCTTTTGAGCCTCACCCTTGGCTCTTTGAGCCTTGTTGCCGATCTCAGAACCAGTATTACCGGTCAAAGAGTTATAAGCACCCTTGACAGCTCCAGCAACTTGATCAGCAGCACCTTGGACATAGCCTTGAACGTTGGCAGCGGTTTCTTGAACAGAACCTGCAGTATTTTGAGTCTTTCCTTTGGCCTCGAGAGATTCGTTACCGAAAGCAGAACCTACATTTTCCTTGACGGAGCCAACGAATTTGTCTTTTTTAGCATCAGTTCTTGAGGGATCCATTTTTATAGAGTTGTTTAATGAAGTGGGGAAAAAAAATTAACGACAAGTCCCACTTATTTATACTTGTTCTTCGTGTTTGCTAAATCTGGATAGGTCCACTTTCCATTGGATCTGTTTTAAGTTTGCAGCAAAAAAAAAAAAAAACGTCATTTGCAGTTGAAATTACAATGATACAGTAAAAAAAAAAAATCTCCATGGAGATATTAAAAGAAAAGCAGAATTCAAAAAAAAAGAAAGAAAATTCGCGGATGATGTAAGTCCAAAAGATCTTTTTATAATAATTGAAACTTTAATTGTACTCCCATTTTTAAATTAATGAAACTATCGCCCTTGCCATCTTTTTTTTTTATTCCTATATATTTTGTGATTTTCCACTGTCGGAAGAGAACTTCAACATTTGGCCTTATGCAACATGTAAGTTCTTTGAATACGAACTTTGAGAAATCATGTTCGTATTTATAAATATACGTGCTATAGATGGTAGCCTATTCTTGACAATACATGTACACAACATTTGTAAGATCCAATTTTATTCTTATCAAGATAACAAGTGTACTCATACAGGTGTCTGACTCAACTTAGACTTATCAAGTCCAAACTATCCCAATAACGTTTAAAAGAGGCAGAAGAGTTTACGATCATGTTTGGAACCCTAAGATCGATTTTGTACCAGTTTTTTCAAAGCTATTGATTATGAACCTTATTTGCCTTGGTGCTCCTAGAGCAGATCAAAAATTAAAGTGAAATACGCAGTGTTCATAGGTCCAAAAAAAAAAAAAAAATCGACTTGGGGGATGCGGTCCCAAAAAAGGTAAGGTAAAGTCTGAAAGTGAAATTTTGATTCGTCTGCAGTTTTGGTGGGTGGGGGTGGGAGGAGAAAAAAAAAAGAAAAGTGTCGACGTGTTCAAAAAAAAAGGAGAGAAGTTGTCTATGGCTAAAAGTTTAAAAAAAAAAATTATAAAAAAATTTAAGCAAAACCAAACCATGTCTTTTGACAAAGAAAAAGATTCGGTACTTAATGGGTACCCACCACTTCAGGGTCATCCTTCTTTACAACCACCGTTCTTTGGTAATAGTTTACAAGCCCAAAGTCAAAACAATAATACTACGGCAGCATCTTCACCATCTAGTGCCAATTTCCATATGCCACTGTATTCGGGTAACTTTAATCGTTATCCACTTTCAAAAACAGCCACTGGTAATGGCACTGGCGTCACCACAAACAATAACAACATGAACAGTACCAGTCCTCGTCTGTCTAGCTCCACCTCCATCATGTTGCCAGATACCGGTAACACGGGTAACTCTATTCACGTCACTCGTCAGTTAACCTATGCACAGAATTCACGTCAGTCCTCATCCCCTCATCATCATGCTCGTACCGCTGCTGCCATGGCACGCTCCACACCCGTGTCCTCCACCGTTACCATCACCGATCCCAACAACCCTACTAGCAACAAAATATTCAACCGCATCGATGCCGTTAATCTATCGACCGTGGACGATGATAGTGGACAGGAAGGACAGAGCCAGACGTGGACAACACTTGACATTGGTGGTATGGGATTAAAGCAAATTTCCCCTACCTTGTGCTCTTACACTTTTTTAACTGTGCTTTACATGAACCATAACAATCTGACTCATCTCTCCAGCGACATATCCAAATTGGTCCATCTCAAAACATTGGATTGTTCTGGGAACAAATTATCCAGTTTACCTTCCGAATTGGGCCTATTGAGCAATCTACGTGATCTTTTGTTGTTCGATAACAATTTGTCCAATTTACCCAGTGAATTAGGTATGCTTTATCAACTCGAGATGCTAGGTTTGGAAGGAAACCCGATGCAGGCCGATATCAAGAACATTTTGATGAAGGAAGGTACACAAGCCGTTATTGTTTCCTTGAGAGAAAATGCACCCGTCGGTATGCCTCCACCTCATAGAGAATGGATCACCATTGAAAACGATACTTCTTCAGACGACAGTGGTAAAAAAAAGCACACTTTTATTTTTTTTTTAGTTATTATTATGCACATGTATTTACAGCTCTTTTTCTTACCAAAAAAAAAAAGACAAGTTTACGGTGCTGTCTTATAATATTTTGTGTGATAAATATGCAACCAGTCAGGTTTACGGCTATACACCTTCGTGGGCATTGAATTGGGATTATCGTAAAGAACTCATTATATCCGAAGTGCTGAATTACAATGCGGATATAGTGTGTTTACAGGAAGTGGCCATGAAGCAATACGAAGAAGCATTGGGCGATGCTTTCAAGGAACGTGGAGATTATGACGGTGTATTTTTCCCTAAATCACGCGCCAAGACGATGGTGGATAAGGAACGTAGGGCAGTGGATGGTTGTGCGATCTTTTACAAGGCATCGAAATATGATCTTATTGAACATCATTTATTGGAATACAATCAAAAAGCACTTCAGAGACCTGATTTTAAAGCAAGTGACGATATTTATAACCGAGTGATGACAAAGGATAATGTGGCAGTGATGATTGTATTAGAGAACAAGGAGACGTTGGCTCGTCTATTGGTGGTAAATTCACATATTCATTGGCATCCACAAGATGCGGATGTCAAGTTGGTCCAGACAGGCATGTTGATGGATGAGCTTGATAAGTTTGCAGCTAAACATTTGAAACCTCCATCGGGTTCACCTCAGGGACCCACGTATTCGTCGACAATGCAATTACCTACGGTGATTTGTGGTGATTTTAATTCAACACCTGATTCAGGTGTGTATGAGTTCCTTTCCAAGAGCGTGGTTCGACAGGATCATCCTGATTTTGGTAACTACATGTATGGTAATTATACGACGGAAGGATTATCTCATCGATTGGCGCTCAAGAGTACGTATAGTCCAGTGGGAGAATTAGATATGACAAATTATACACCTGGATATAAGGGTACTTTGGATTATATCTGGTATACCAATAACACAATGGATGTCATGTCGTTACTAGGTGGCATCAGTCAAGAATACCTCGATAAGGTCGTAGGCTTCCCTAACCCTCACTTTCCTTCAGAGTAAGTTATCTCTCCTCTCCTATTTCACTCACTAGGATGAGTATGTATCCCTAACTTTTTTTTTTTTTTTTATCATTTGTAGTCATATCCCATTAATGGCAGAACTTCGACTTAAATCTCCACGTCGTGAAAAGAATGAGGAACCAAATTTTGGTTTTACATCTAGACGATAACTTGGTATCTTTTTTTTGTTTTTGTTTGTTTCTTTCATTCCCTCCCAACAACTACACTTTTATAAAAAAAAAAGAGACTTGTATAAAGAAAAAAAAAAAGAATACCTTTATTTTTTTCCTTTATATATCCCAGAATTGTACATTTCCCCACCCCCCAAATAAAAAAATATATAAGCTTTAATTTATTGTTTCCTTTATGTTGAATCAGTACTGCCAGAATCAATCCATTTCTGATGAATTTGTACAAGTTCATAAATAATTAAACTTTCAATTTCAATTTCTTGTGCCATCTGTTCCTTTGTTAAAGATAGCACCTTTTCACTATGTTGTGTGATCAATGTCACGGTTTGTTTACGGGTCTTGAGCATATTACCAATCACAACCTGATGTCCGTAACGTGTCAAAGCGTATCTTGCTTTAGGTACTAATAATTTCGTATCCGTCTCCAATTTAAAGGACACAATCAGACCCTTGGCAGCCCAATTACTCACCAATGGCTTCAAGAATTTAGGCACCTGGTCTAGCGTCAGAGTCAACCCACCGTCGCGCGATTGGATCTTGTGTTCGGCCATCTTGGTGCTAGGAATAAAGAAATCACTGACAGCTGCCGCTAAATAATACATGGCCTTGGTCTCTAAACGCGCAAAGATCTTGGTGCCCGATTGAAGTTTAAAGAGGTATTCAGGTAAAGTCACAAAATCAAGCATCAAGATACGGTTTGTGTTTTTCGCTTCGTGGTATTTGGTAAGCACTTGATGCATTTTGGTAGCATATTGAGGAGCGGCTTTATAAAGAGGGTTGGTAGTTAGCGCATCTCTTCTTATTTTTAAGAAAAGTGTTCCCCTCCTCCTCCTCCTCCTTTAAATGTGTGTCGTGTGTACATTACCTTGAACTGTGCCGTCTTCCTTGGCTTCAAAATAATCCAGGAAACCAAGATTGGAATGGGTATAATGACGGTGATAAGGTAGGATACTATTTTGACGATGCATGAAAACCACGGCATAACCCGCTTCTAAGAAATATTCGGCCGAGGTAGCACCACGGGTGCCTAAACTAAAGTTGTCAATAAAGCGCACCGTTTGGTTCTCCAGAGGCACGGTGGTTCCACCGCTCTAAAAAGGAAAGAGTGAGTCTAACATGGTTCAATTTTTAAAACGAGAGAGAAAGTAAGGTTTACGGTGATGAAGACAACTTTGCTACCGGCTTCTTTATGGAAATCAACAAACGCGTTTAATTTATCTTCGAATTGAGCCAAGTCGGCAGGTGGTTCATTAATTTCAAAGTAGACATCGGGGTCAATGACACCTTGACCGTTGTCAAGAATGGGAATGACAGGTGTAGGTACAGACATTTTAAGAAGAAGAAGAAAAAAAAAATGTAGATGAGGAGGGTGGGATGGATATGTGTGTGTGTGTGTATTCTGACAAATGAATGTTTATTTAATAGATATTCCTCACCAGTCACGCTTTGTGTGACACAGGGATGAACTGTCTGTATAAATGTCCGTAACCCAAAAAATGTCACTTTCCAAAAAAAATGAATGGCATTAAGCCAAACATGATTGTCTCTTTATGTCTAGAAATTTTGTCCTTTTGAAATAAAAAAAATGTCACAATAAGTTAAATCAAATTAATTTAAACATGATATGTAATTTTTGACTTAAAAACGACTGGAAGGTGTTTTTTTTTTTTTTTATATAATATTGAATGATTTGTCGTTTAAATGAGGGGAGAAGTTGTATAGAATTTCAGCAGTTATAGCATTACATGCCTTAATCAGCAAATTGACATTTTATATCGTCTAAACTTCATAGGATGATCGATTTTTGTTTTCCATAAAATCTGCTTCACTTTCATTACAAGCTACTACTGGAACGCAGATATACAACTACCATGTTTCGATTTGTTTGGGGTTGTTTTCTGCATATGTTTCTATTTTAGGTAAAGGCCCAGACATTATGAAAGATGAATCAAGCAATTAAATCATTCTGACATAAGCTTGTTTATCAGCCTATAAATAAAGCTGGTTCACACACTATATTCTTCCGCCCTTTTCTTTTCCCCTTAACATACTTCTATCGAATGAAAGTAATTGATAAAGTAAAAAGGTGAGTTATTAATGACACGTCTGTTTCTTTCAAAAGACGTTAAACCGAAAAAAAGATATTATTGCGGTATTGCAGCTGCAGCTAGTCTTTGCTATAGGAAGGCGACCTCCTAAGCAGGGCTCTTGAGTTTTTTTTTTTTTTTTTTTTTTTTTTGGAACTCACAGGCTGTGAATAGCTGGGATTGGACTGTAAATAGGTTTAATCATACTGGCCTGCTGGTCTTGACCAGAATATCTGTAAGTGGTATAAAAAAAACACGTTTGAAAAAAAAATAAACACAGCAAGCTTTAACAATAGTTTCATAAATGGCTTATAATGGAATTTGTGGTGGATAGTATGCTGGATATTACATTGAAATTTTCACCTGGAGAATGTTTTCTGAAATGCACAAACGAAAGAGTACGAAGCAGATGCTTGCATTTCAGCCCGACGAAAATGAATTATCTAAACTAGAAACATTGGGAAAAAAAAAAAAAACTATTGGACGATAATTAAAAGTATGGTAGTGACCATATTACAATCCACTATGGTGCCTTGAGCATTGTCAATGCTGTATACAAGAAGTATTATTGCTCCACTAAAGCAACGGCTTTAAAATTACACATCCCGTTTCTTCATGCCAGGCGTACGTAAAAATTTTCCAAGAAAGTGTTTAAGTGTAAGGTGCTTAGGGATATGACTGAAAGCAAAGACATCCTGGCACTAGGAAACCTTTGCTGGTCCTACAAAGTAAATTGTTCATTGTATCTTGGTAATCATTAATAATTGGTTAAAGTTTTACAACATATATAGATAGTGTTTTCTAGAGAATTCAGTAAAAGGGGTCATAGAAACGATGAAGGAAGAGCACGAAGAATATTCGCTCCAAAAAAAATCTTATCAAGTGGAGTCAAAAGTCGTACTTCCTTGAGTACATTACTGAAACCGGGCATCCAAAAGCCGGGTAAAAAGGTTCAGGTTACAACCTGTTGCTTCTTGACGAATATGACGAAGAACAATTGTCTGTGCGATACACGCGGTCAAAATAGACTGATTTTTTGTTTTGTAGTAAGCCAATGTTTATCGCGCTTAAATTACTATATGAACAGCTATATTTATTACTTGTCTTTCATTTACCAAAATTCTTTGTTAATCCCTGATGCAACACAATTAGTTACAATGCAGCAATGAGCCTTGGAATATTTCAGCCAATTGAGTAGTATTTTGATGTTTAGTAGAACATTACCAAGTAAGGATTTAAGTAAAAAAAAAAAAATTGGAATAATCTTCAGGTCTGTATTTCGATTGATTGTGTTTTTCAAAAAGGGTCAAATATAATACATAGTGTATGATATGGCGTGTTTGTCCACACAGTAAAGTGAATAAGATCAACCAACCATTTCTTATACTGATAGCCAGTAATCAAATAAGACAAAAGGATCAGAAAGTCACAACAAAGGATATTTAAATCAACAATAAGCAGAGGTCGTTTCTATAAGTCAAAAAATAAATATCATGTTTAGGTCAATTTGATTTAACTTATTGTGACAAAAATTCTAGACATAAAGAGACAATCGTGTTTGGCTTAGTGCCATTCATTTTTTTTTTTTTTTTTGGTTACGGACGTTTAATTTTCTCAAAGATAAGTGATGAAATTTACCGTTCTCACTGTATGTATAGCGGATTACGGTCATTTAAAAAACAAAATGAAGGACACAGGGGGGGGGGGGACACAGACCTCTTGACATATTTACATCACAGCGAAACACGATTAGAATGACTAATAAGGATTGAATAGAGCGGATGATAGTTTTTTATTTGTTCTGGTGGATAAGAGGGTACAGAGAGCCTTTTACTGGACGTTCTCCCAATATAACAGGGTGTGGGAGTAACCAAGGATTGATCTGGGGGTTGATCTTACCCTGTTTTAATCATGTAGTAAAGAGACAACGAGTTTCCATGGTAATTTCTCTCTCTCTCTCTATCTCTCTCCATTCTTATACAAGAGTTGGTAATGATTTATAATGCAAAAGATATCAAGTAAGATACTGGATTATCCGTTGTGTGTATCACCAGTCAAAAGTAGATCATTGTGACTCTTACACCACATGGCACCTAACTTTATATGTTCCCACCGACTACAATCTATTGTTACACTCTGCTGATAACCTTTCTATAGTTGCTACAGAGAGAGAGCGAGAGAGAGAGAGAGAGAGAGAGAGAGAGCAAACAGCTCTTTTGCTAAAAAAAAAAAAAAGGGTGAGAATTTTTTTTTTTTTTTTTTACCAAAAAAGATATATATAAGGCGGAGCTTTAACTTGTGGGTTTAATAACCCTCTTTCTTTTTTTTTTACAACACACCTAAAAAATACCTTTTTTTTTTTCTTTTTCATCTCTTTATAAATCTTCATAAGTACGTATTCTCTCTCTCTTTTTTTTTTAGTTGATTTTTTTTTCAAAAAGAAAGAAAGAAAGAAAAAGCACCTTTTTTTTTTTTTTTTAACATCTTTTAAAGTGTAATGTGTGGGAGTGGGGAAATGGTTAATAACAACAATAATGATGATGAAAAAAAAAGTTTCTTCCTAGACCCTGAAACCTTTTTACCATATGTGAGGACCTTTTTTGTTGTTGTTGTTATTGAGAGATTGATTGAATGATAGATATACAAAAAAAAAAGAAAGCCTATTGTAGGATAATTCCACATTATTATTGTTATTATTAGCCCGTTTTCCAACCCAACTTCATGACTCCCCTTTCCCCTTTTTTATTCTCTTTTACATTCAACTAACGCGTTATCATTAGATAATCATGGCAGATACAGTAGAAGCCGATGTGGACTCAATTATATCGCGACTCCTGGAGGGTAAAATTATCTGAAAAAAAAGAAGAAGGACGAATAGAAAGTATTAATCCATCTTATATTGTGTGTAGTGAGAGGAAGTCGCCCGGGTAAACAAGTTCAATTGGGAGAAAACGAGATTCGATTTTTATGTCAAAAAGCACGCGAGATATTCATGAACCAACCTATACTTTTGGATCTGGAAGCACCCATTAAAGTGTGTGGTGATATTCATGGTCAATACTACGATCTCTTGCGATTGTTTGAATACGGTGGATTCCCTCCCGAAGCGAATTATCTGTTTATGGGCGATTATGTTGATCGAGGAAAGCAATCACTCGAGACCATCTGTTTATTGTTGGCTTATAAAATCAAATACCCTGAAAACTTTTTCATCCTACGTGGCAATCATGAATGTGCTAGTATCAACCGTATATATGGCTTCTACGATGAATGTACGTACTATCCTTTCTTTTTTTTTTTTCTTTACATTGACTCTCACACACACACTTTTTGTAGGTAAGAGACGATACAATATAAAGCTTTGGAAGATTTTTACGGATTGCTTCAACTGTTTGCCCATTGCTGCCATCATTGACGAAAAGATCATGTGTATGCATGGTGGTCTTTCACCTGATTTACAAACCATGGAACAAATTCGTAGAGTCATGCGTCCCACCGATGTACCCGACACAGGTAAGGGAGGATAATTTTTATTTTATTTTATTGTGAAGTTTTTTTTTGTTGAAGGAGAAAGGCAATTTAGGTTTATTATGTGATTTGTTATGGTCTGATCCTGACAAGGACATTACAGGCTGGAGTGAGAATGACCGTGGTGTCTCCTTTACATTTGGTGCGGACATTGTTTCACGATTCTTACAAAAGCATGACTTGGAACTCATATGTCGTGCTCATCAAGTGGTTGAAGATGGGTATGAATTTTTCGCTAAAAGACAGTTGGTTACCTTGTTTTCTGCACCCAATTACTGTGGAGAATTCGATAATGCGGGTGCTATGATGAGTGTTGATGAGTCTTTAATGTGTTCTTTCCAGGTAAGTTTTTTCTTTTATGTGTGCTGGGGTATAAAAAAAAAGGGCAACTCATCTTTTTTTATAAAATATACATAGATCCTGAAACCTGCCGAAAAGAGAGCAAAATATGGTTATAATGCTGGTAAAGGAAAACCCAGACCAAAGGCGTAAATACGTTAAACACCCACCTTTTTTTTTTTTTTTTCGCTCACCCACTCCTTCACACACACACACACACACACACACACACAAATGCGTTTGTCTCTAATTAAATATATATTTTACATCTTTTATTGAGAATCCAATGATGTTTTACCACACACACGGAGAGAGAGAAAACGATTTAAACGCGTTCTTTGTAGTTGTAGTTGCACGAGTGACCTAATCGTTTAGTCATTTAAAAAAATACGATAGGCTCCTATAATGTATATTTTTTGTACAACGAGCGAATGACGGCACCAATGTATAATTATTGTTTTTGCTCCAACATTACCTGCTTTGATAACTGATACCATGTGATTTTTTTTTTTTTTTAAGAGTTTAGCTTTTACGTGGAAATATATTTTCATTGTGTTTGGAACGGGGGATGAAAAAGCTTAATTCTTTGCCGAAAAAAAAAAAGCTTTCCCATTGGGAGGGAAAAAGATTTTGCATGATGCTTAAATACGATTTCCAAATTCCGCCCAAAGAGAGAGAGGGAGGAAGAGAGCGGGTGTTGGGTCATACTTGTATCGGCTCCCAAGTTATAAGGAAAAAAAAAGCATGTTTAGTGTTCATTAAAATAGATGGGGAGGGGAAGCAGTAAGAAAAAAGTGTAAAAAAAAAAGAGAGAGAGAGGCATAAAAACAAGGTTTCTGCTTTTAGCTTTAATAAAAAAAGTGTGACTTTCGGATGAAAATGTTACAAAAAAAGATTTTTTAAAAGAACCTTTTTTTTTCCTTCTTTTATATATAAACCTAATATGAATTTAATAAATTTACCTCATGAATTACTACAGATGATAACGAATCATTTACCACGACAAAGTATATCTCGATTATGTTTAACATGTACACAGGGATACGGTCTATTTCTACCGACCTTGTATCGTCATCTCGAACTAGGCCATCGTACGCAAATAAAGCAGTTAGCACAAGGCCTTATTCGAAACCGTTTTTTAAAGGAAACTGTTCAACAACACACACATATCCTCACACTCAGTTGTCGTCAAGGAGGAAACAGTCATGACTTGATCATCTTACTTTTCAATCAATTACCCAATATAAAGCAACTCTATTTTCGTGACTTCTTAAACCTGTCCGTCCAAAGGATAGTCAACGTCCTTCATCGTTTACCCAACCTGACCCTATTAGACTTTAGCTATTGCGACTTGAAGGAAAGTGAGGAGGAGGAGGAGGAACTGGTGGTTTTAGAAGGTATCACTACCTTAAACCTTGTCTGGACGGATTTCTCGACGGCCGCTATTCGGCAACTGTGGATGATGACTCCGAACCTAACCCGTGTTCATTTGGGTGCAAATCATAATCGGCAGAAACTCACCAACGATACAGCTTTAATTGCACTGACCGAATCCTGTCCGAGGATCAACGACCTTGAGGTCTCGTTACAGCAAGTACAGGAAGATTCGATCTGTAAACTCATTCAGACCTATGGTTCACAATTAGAGCGATTGTCCGTTCGATGCGAGGGTAATGATACCTTACGGTCTATCGCTCATCATACACAAAGTTTACAACAGTTGATACTTCGCTGCAATTACTCTGGCTATTATAATCATCATGTCATGCATATCTTTCAACAGTGTCAATCACTGACGCATTTGGAAATGGTGAGTTGGCCCTTACAGGATGTGCCTACCATTGTATTAGATCAACTGAGGTATAGACATATTGAGACCTCCACTTCTTCCTCTATCTCGGCACCTACCTCCTCTTATATTGAAGGTATCAAGCGTACGGTTGCCCTTGATAGGTTAGATTTGCAGGAAATACGTAGACTCTGTCCATCGTGATTCACAGTCACGACTTTTTTTTTTTTAAAAAAAAAAAAAAAAAAAATACCCTCTCTCTCACACAAAATAAAAAATAAATAAAAACTGTTTTCTATAACACTAATATAACAAAGCATGGTGAGTTTTTTTTTTTACATTAGACCTTATGCATATGACCCTGACTCACCTCTCTTTTACTATAGTCTGTAAGTATTCAACTCGTGAATTAAGTGGACAATATATAGAGTGTTAATAATAGAGGATAACTACCATAGTACTTTTTACCGCATTTAACCAACGGATGGCAAGTGGATCAAGCCATTTTGTCAGAAGAAGACCGAGTTGTAATTATTCGGTTTGGACATGATTGGGATCCCACGTGTATGCAAATGGATGAAGTCTTGTATAGTATTGCAGAGAAAGTAAAGAATTTTGCGTGTATCTATCTTGTAAGTCGTTGCTTTTATCTGTGCATCTAATATATGGAGAACGCACTTATAATTGTTGTTGTTGTTAGGTTGATATTACAGAGGTTCCTGATTTCAACAAGGTAAAAAAGATAGAGAGAGAGAGAGAGAAAAGGAATGGATGACTGAAAAAGAATGGAATAGATGTACGAATTATACGATCCATGCACAACCATGTTCTTCTTTCGTAATAAACATATCATGGTTGATTTGGGTACGGGTAATAACAACAAGATTAACTGGGCTTTGGATGATAAGCAAGAGATGATTGATTTGGTTGAAGTATATATATTTATATATAAAAAAAAAAAGAAAAAGAAAGGTTAACTCTCTCATTTTCAAACGTAGACTGTATATCGTGGAGCCAGAAAAGGCAGAGGTTTAGTGGTGTCACTAAAAGATTACTCGACAAAGTACCAATATTAATGAATCATGGAGTGAGACAAAGCATAAAAAAAAAAAAAAAAGTCATCTCATTATTTTTTTTTTTTTTTTTTTAATAATAATATATTATTTGATAACAACAGCAAAAGAGAGAGAGAGAGAGAGAGAGAGAGAGAGAGAGAGAGAGAGTGTGTGTGTGTGTGTGTGTGTGTGAGGGGTATAAAAATGTTGGATGCCTTCTTTTTAAAAGGTCAGACGAGTTGCAGGAGGAGAAGGTAGGTTCAGTGTGGACCAGAGTAACTTTTGTCTTCTTAGTGCATCTACATTTTCCTCTAGTGTTTGTAAGGAAAGGGACGATCTTTTAAACTTGTACTCGTACCATTTCACAATTTCCCTTGTCCGACTCACACTAATGCGACCCATATTATCTGTATTGATGGTAGATTCATCCAATGGTGCAGCTAGAGCTAATCGAATCCATTCGTTTGTCAAGTATCGTTCTTTTAAACGATGTGTTTGTACGCCAATCTTTACCTTGGTTAAGGCTCTGGCTAAAGGTGAATCCTGTGTGGAAGGTGGGTTATTTGTTTGGGATGACGATAATCGATGTTTGGCTCTGAGGGCTGCTGAAGCTACTGGAATCAAATCGACAAGTGAAACCGTACCTCGTCGAGCTAGCTTGATGCTCTTGACCGTATTCTGTCCTTCTTCTTCATCGTCGCTGGTGATGGGTGTGGGCGGTAATAGAACCTTATTTTCTCCTATCATCCCATCTTCCTTATCCAGTAAAGGTATATACGTAATAGGGTAAAGTAAGCATTTCGTAGTAGACATTATATTAGTAGTATGATATAAAATAGAGAGAGGGGGTGAAATAAGAGAGAGAAAGAGAGAGAGAGAAAAAGAAAACAAGGGGGGGGTGAGAAGAAATAAAATTATAAAGGCAATAAATTTTTTTTTTTTTTTTAGGTTTAATATTGATGTCGTACACATCTTTTTTTTTTGCTTCTTTGTCCTCAACGGGGCGGGTTGATTCTTTTTTAATTTTATTTAAATTCATTTTAGAGAGGATAACCAACGGGAAGAAGTGGTACTACTGCTGGTTGACAATGAGGGCTTTCCTATCCTAGGTTCTATTTGTTTAGAGACTTCATAGCGTTCCTATAAAAGAAAAAAGAAAAGTTGGTATTTTGTGTAATCTAAAATACGAAATATAATTTTACATCTTCTGTAGGTATCGACTGATGTCCAATAAAATAAAGTAGAAATGGGTTAGGCTCAAAGGCATAAGTCGGGTATTGAAAGCGCATCATTTGAAGAATGGAATCTCCCATCAAACGAAATTTCTTCCAGTGGACTTTACCATCTATCTTGTGATCTTTGTTTGCCTCTCCTAGTGAAACCAAATCTTGTTGATGAATGCCTCTATTTTTAAGTTAGTCTCTCTAACAATGAGTTTCCACTTTTTTGCCTGAGCCCTTTCTCTCTCTCTCTCTCTTTTTAAGCTCTGCCATACTGTACAAATAAGGTATACCAGGCACTTGGGTTTGTTTTAATGTCGAGCGATAATTTGAAAAGGATCTAATAATGGAAAAAAAAAAAGAAATTGTTAAGAAAAGTAGGGCCCTTATTTAGAAACTAAGTATGTCATATCCTTTTTTTTTACCTTTCTGAGCTCATGAGTGATTCCAGCTCTAAAAACACATGAAACAATTTCTTGTTCCTGGTGATGCATTTATCTCGGGTTAATTTCAATCTCAAGACAGCCGCACTATTAATCCCTGCCAATACGGCCATCAACGTATTAAAGTTATTCAGGCCACGTAGATCTACCGCTAGCTGTAAACAGAATTCAAATACAGTCACTCGCCTATCCAATAATGTCTGATTCACCACCAAGGAAGCAATCCAACCCGACACAAAGTTAAAGTGTTCAATGGAGGCCAGCACTGGATTCTTTTCATGAGGATGATGGCTGCTATTACAGGACCATAGATGACGCAAGAAATCACGGGGTTGGATCCGGCGAAAGATATCTGCCTCAATCCAGGTCAGTTGCTGAGCCAGTGTCAGAGGAGACAATGAGCTCAACACTTGGTAAGGATCCACCGGGAGGGATTTTTGCTGCTCTTGCTGTTGTACAATCGAGACAAGTCCACCACCAAAGACTGCTGTAGGTAAATTATCCAATCGACAAGGAACTGAGTTGCGTCGACGATCTGTGATGGCTAAAGAAGCCACCAGAGATTTAAAACAGGGTAATTTAGGGTGACTGGTGGAGACTGCTCTACGTAAAGAACGAGTGCGTTCGATGGTGCCTCCCTTGGGATGAGGGGGAATCCATTCATTGTAACCACTGTCTTTCTTTCGAGACTTTTTGTGATGCTCCATATCATGATGATCATCATCACACATACCCCATCCACTATCTTTGTCACGGAGAGCGGGTTCACGGATAGCCAATGGTAATAACACATCAATGACTGAAGTCAGTCTATCATAAGACCGGAGTCTTTCTAGAAATTGCATCATCATCCGACGTGTAGCCGAACTTTGAAAGTCGCCCCAATACTGTGATAACCACAAGCAAAAAAACCAGCGTATTCTACTTTTCATGTTAATTTTTTTACTCTGTGTCATGGTGATGAAAAAGGGGGGGGAGGACTTTCTCTTTAATTGTTGTTGTATTTTTTTTTTTTTTACCTTTGTTGTCGTACAGTGGGTAACATTGTATCACTTTCTTGTGTCAGGTCGGATTCGAATCTATCATTTATGCTATGCATATAAGAAAGGGGAGGTAAAGGAAAATAATACTGAAAATTGTTTTTTTTTTACCTTTCAATTAGTAAATTCACAAGGTCTAAAGGTTTCATGAATTTACGAAACACGGTTTGGAATATAATGACTGCATCTTCATCTAAAATGTAAAAAAAAAAAAAAAAAAAAAAAAAAAAAGGGGGGGATGAGTTCGGTCTGCCTGTCTGTCTGAGTGATAATATATAAGAAAAACTTGCCTTGGTGGTCATTGAGTAAAGTGTCAATGATATAAGAGATGGATTCTCCACTTGTGCTACTACTTCGACTCACCGTGGTATCACTCTGTGAAAAAGATGACTTGCTAAAATAAAAGGGTCATTAAAATGGGGTGAAAAAAAAAAGGGGGGGGAGGACTGGAGTAAAGAGAGAAAATACCGGTGGAGGTCAATACCCTGTTGTTGATTCAAAAGTAGTATTTTTCGGTCGGAATAGATGAATTGATGAAAGTATCTGTGAAAGAGTTGGATGCCGTGGACTGTAAAACTATCGGACTCGACTGTTTGTAAACCAAATAGGTTGGCAATCAACTGACCTAGATGAGGATCCACAGTTCTCAGCACTGTCAAATCTGACTTGAGACCAATCAAAAGACAAGGAACATGGTGTGATAGAAAGGTATCTACATGGGATTGAATGTTATTTATTGTATATATATGAGGAAAATATATTTATTTTTTTAAGGGAGTTTTTTTTTTTTTTTTTTTTTTTTTTTGCTTTACTAATCATGTCGGGTAGGTTGTCCATTGAATCTCTATTTGTAATATCGTAGCATATCAATGCACCGTCAAATGTTTCCATAGACTAAATTATATTATACTTTTAGTATCTAGGGCAGATATTGATTTATAAATAACAAAAAGGACACATACGGGTGGGATTCCATTGTATTCTAATATCTGAATAATAAATTGTTCATTGTTTCTCAATCGATATAATTTCCCTAGATAAGCCAAGAAAGGTTAATTTCCACAAGAATGAGGATGATTTGAATAGGTAAAATACATACGAAGTCGGTCTACTTCTTGAAGCCCAAGGGAGTTGATGAATGTTGATTTGCCTGTACTTTGTACACCGGATGTTACTGCTAGTACAAAGGATATCTAATGTGGGATGAAAGGGGAGAGTGTGTGTATATGTGTATTTGTGTGTTATTTCGATTTTATCTTTTTATAAATGTATATATCTTCTTTTTTTTTACATGGTGCTCTTTTTTCTTGTGAAATGAATTTAACAAGTGATGAGTCGAATGTAAAGATGATTTTTGATTCAGTAAAGTGCTTAATTTTCGAGATAACCACATGCTATTTTATATATATATATATAAAAGAAGAAGAGAGGAAATAAAAAGGAATTTTGGGTAATTATTATAATAAAAAAGAAACTATTTCATGTTGACTCCCCCAAAAAAAAAAAAAAAAAAAAGGTCCCCTCGTCCTCCTCCTCCCTCCCCTTTTTATTGCATTGATTGCATGTTAAAATATAAACCACACACGGAAAAAAAATTAAGCCTTGTGATATAAAATTCCATATACACACGCCAAAAGCCCAGAAAAACTGACAGTTTTTGCAAAAGTACAAAATTTCCCCAGAGTTTTTTTTTTTAAAACCCAAATGAGTGAATTTTTTTTTTAAATTTTTCCCTCTTTTACTCTTTCTCTCTCTCTCCGCCCCACATACACACACACAGATTTTTTTTTTTTTTTTATAAATAGTTCCTTAGAGACCTTTTTATTTATTTATACAGTAGTTGAGGGAGAAGAATGACATCGAGATATCACTTGCCCACTATTGCTGCTGTTGCAGGCATTGCCTTGGCTGCTTCCAGTTATGTATTGACCAACAATAGTTATGAATCGAAAAAGAGAAAAAGAAGAGTTAGGTCCAAAATACAAAGAGGTATTTTTTTTTTTGTAACAGTAACCATGGTTTCTATCTGTACTAAAACAAACAAACAAAAAAAAACTCTTTAGAACGTGATGGACAGTTTATTTTAGGTCTTGTGAATGTACAAAACTATTGCTTTGTCAATTCGGTTTTACAAGTAATTAACATTAGAAACACACTAAAGAGAAACAGATGCTCATCTTTTTTTTTAAAAAATGTAACAGGCTTTTGCTACTTTAGCTAGCTTACGTTCTTATCTGGCAAGTAGAGTGGAAGAGAGTTTCATAGTGTAGTGGTTTTAACGTTTATAGAATAGGCTGAACGCGTTGATGAACAAGGAGATGAATCTGCACCTCAAGTACCTCAGAATGAGTTTATTTTACAGTCTGTTGCGTGTGCACTGTATGCTACGATTGAAAGTAAGATATAGATATACCCATATAAGAGACATACTAAGTTATCTGTGTAGTGTTGAATCGACCTTTACCGAGACCAAGATCCATCACACCTACAGATTTTTTGAATGCGCTGGAAAGGAAATCAGGCGGAACGATCAATCGTGATCAACAAGTAACTTGTAAAAAGATAACCCACATCGGATGCATTTCTCCAACCCTATTTTTTTTTTTTTTTATTATGAAAAACCTTAGGATGCTCATGAATTATTCCAAATTATATCCAGTGTATTAACCTCAGAGGAAGAAATTCAATATCGTGAGAATGCCACTTCTTTATTAGACGCTGCCACGATCCGAGGCTTTACAGTGGGAGAAAATGTATATATATATATTTTTAAAAAAAAAAAAAAAAAAAAAAAAAGAGAGAGAGAGAGAGAATGAAAAAAAATCCATCTTTTTTTATTATTATCGGGAATGACTAACATTGAAAGAATAGGATGCAAATGACAATTTTGAAACTTCGTCGGTATCTTCGTTTGGAACTTCGGCTTCCATGTGGAGCTCATTTTCCGTTTGTACCGTTGGCGGAAATTTACGTCCGAGACGCCGTAGCCCCAAAAATCCTTTTACAGGTTTAGCTGCATCCAAAATCAGCTGTGTCAATTGTGGATACACCGTAAGTTCGCTTTTAAAAAGGTATTCCCAGCCTGACCCTTTTTTTTTTTTTTTTTTTTTTTTGGTAGGCACCTATTCGACATCACACCTTTGATAATATCTCATTGACGGTGCCTCAAGTGGTAAAAGAAAAAGAAAAACATTTTTTTTTTTTAAAAAAAAAAAGGGGGGGTGGATGGATTGTGAGACTTAATGTTGCCTTTATTTCTAGTCGAGTTGTTCTTTAGAGAGTTGTATCAAGACATACACAAAAGTTGATATTTTGACCGATTTCCAATGTCGAAAGTGTACATTAATCACCACGTTGCAAACCATGACGCAAGAACTGGAATCTGTTTCAGGTAAGGACGAAGAAAGAGCGCAGGTCTTGATGCGAGATATCGGAAGAATTAAGGATGCCTTACAGTCGAATGTGGAAGCCGTCTTGGTAAGATAGTATACAGCAGCAGCAGCAGCAGCAGCAGTAAAAAAAAAAAGTGTATAGTCACTAAGCCCTTTCTTTCCCCCCCCCCCTTAATTTTTTATAATTATTTTCTTTCGATTAGTATGGGGTTCCCTTAGTAAGCCCTAGACAAGCACCATGTACTACGAAACAAACCATGTTTGCTAATCCACCTAAATCACTCTGTCTTCACCTTTCTCGATCTATATACCATCCATCTGGTATAATTCAAAAGAACCATTGTCAGGTTGAATTTTCAGAATATTTGGATTTAGCCCCTTATACAACCAACGGCTACATGAACACGACGGATCCTTCTGCCTCCCTGAGTTCACCCCCACCTACACCCATTTTACCGCATACACGTACAAGTCGAGCGAGTCTAGTGTATCTTCGTAACATGACCAATGGACATCGATTTACACATCATCAACACAGTGCTTCTGCCCCAGATGGATTAAACGTGGCCCTGTTATCGAGTAAAGAAGATCGTACCGTTCAAAACGCATTACCTTCACTCTCGGTGGTGGTTCCCGTCTCTCGCTCCATTGGATATAAATTATGTGCGGTCATTGTTCATATGGGCAATCATAATTCGGGTCATTTTATCACTTATCGTCGAAAGAAGTTACCTACCGGACATGAAGTTCGTAGTCCTTTAAATGACAATCAACCCAAACCTCCTACCATGTTTTGGAGATGCAGTGATGAAGTGATTGAAGAAGTGGATTTAGATACCGTATTGAAAAGTGAAGCTTACATGTTATTTTATGAACGTGATGTTTAAAAATCTTTTTTTTTTTTACCCTTCTGTTTTTTTTGTATACTAATCCGTCCCCATACACACACACACACACCTCCTTTTTTTTTCTCTCTTAAAACCCTTACTTTTTTTTTCAAAAAAAAAACATGTAATAAAATATAGGAGTTCCGCCCCCCCCCCCCCTTTTTTTATATTTATTTGGGTATAACAATTGAAAGTCGCTTCTTATTATTAGAAGAGGATCTGACAGATTTTCCAAATTCTCCAAACGTGGTATTGGGATGCCACTCGAAATCGGGAGAGATAAAGAATTGGGTGCTTGTGACTTGTTTCCTTCTTCTTTTTAAACTTGTCTGTTGGCTGTTGTTATGGCTGCTACTATGGCTACTACCAGGACCAGAGCGAGAGAATGTGTGAGGTAATAAACTAGGTCGACGTGGTTTTTCTCCGTTGTTCTTGTACATGCATAGACTTTCGTAACTATCCATTTGCCACAAGGGAGTACAAGGCATGTCCTCGGTGGTGGTGGTGGTGGTGACAGGGACCTCTTCTATTTGACTCGTGTTAGGCCATTGAGGGGATTCACCCAGTAGTTTGGATCGTAATTTATAAATAGCTGCGTCAATCGCTAATTCTATTTTTAAACTATGTTTGATTTTAGACATTTCTACGGAATGAAAGAAAAAGATAGCATGTGAGTTTTTTTTTTTTTTTTTTTTTTTTTTTTTTTTTTTTTTTTTTTTTTACTTTGCCAGGTGGCTCGTTCGCCTCGTTCAATAAATCCAGTGGCCGATTCAAAATCAGGGTTAGATAAAATATTCACCACGTCTTTGAAAGAGAGTTGAGGAGCAATGGTGATATCACCAATGTAAATTTGGGAGAGCACATTTTGAAGTCGCATAATACCGTTGGGAGATATACCTAATTCTTTTAACTATTTTTTTTTTTTTTTTTTTTGTCATGTGAGTTTTATCAGGGGAGGATATGAAGGTTTTTTGTTTACCTGAGAACATCGATGCTGAATTTCTTCCTTGATAAATCGTAAAAAGAAATTAATACCGGTGCGTAATAAAGAAGGCTCACTATGATCCTTGTGTATAAATGGAGCCACATGTGGATTCACTATACAAAAAAAAAAAAAAGTAGGTTAAAAATCGGTTTTCTTGTTCTCTCTCTATTATCTTTTTTTGATTCACACTTGCATTGGACAACGACAAAGTGGTTGACACTGAATAGTTCAGATATTCGTTTCAATGGTAAATCACTAAAAAGATATTTTTTTTTTTTTTTTTTTAGAAAACAGAGGTGAGTTGATGGTGGATGGACTCTTATCTAAGGATTTTTTTTTCTTACTTGTCAATGGATCCATCACGGTATTTGTCAACTGATATATGAAAAGAGTTAAACAAGACATTATGTATATATATAGTCTATTTTTACCGGTAGAGGTCCATGGTACGAGTTGGCCTGTTTTATTCTTCATGTATATTTCTTGCGAAGGATAAAACAAGGGCACAGAACATGATGCCAAGCTAGTGAATATATATATAAAAGGATGAGTATTAGTGCAATGTATAAAGACATTTTTTTTTTTTAAAAAAAAAAGAAAGTGTGATTTACGCAGCCGACCAAACAACCTAAAAAATAAAAAATAAAAATGACCCGAAAAACAGGATGAGCATATCAAGGGGTAATGTAGATAACAATAAAGAAACTCCGACTTACAACATCGGGAGAAGTAATATAATTGAATAATCTAGGCATTTCAAAGAGACTGGAAGAACTAACGGTGATGTTTAAAATGAGACGAGATTTATTGTAGGCCTCTTGGAAAGTGATATCGCCAAGATGATCAGCCAAGACGGATTTCAAGATATTGGGATCGTACAAGTTGCCCTCCAATAAATAGCGATTGAGACGTAACAAAGGAGATTCGGGGAACTCTGGGTGTTCAAACACTTTCTATTAAAAAAAAAAGAAGGGGGGGGGTTATGGGTTATGAATTTATATGAGACGCTTATGAAAGAAAGATTTACTAGAGCAATGGACCAAGGCGAGTTCAACATTTTGATTCGATCTTGTTCGTTCAAAGTGCAGATCAATGAAGCCATGATACTTCCTGTGGATGCACCTGAAATAATCCGAGGTAAAAGCCGAGCATTGATCATGGCCTTTAGCACGCCAATATGAAAGAAACCTAAATAGTAAATTGTCCTTTTTTTTTTTAGTAAGTCTGCTACTGCTTTTTTTTTTTAAAAAAAAAAAAAAAAAAAAAAAAAAAAAAATCAGTCGTACCCAAGGTTCCTCCTCCACTTAACAATAAAGCAGTACGACCATAACCCTGACGAAGTGTCATAAAGTAATCATGCTTTTCTTTTAATGTGAGGTCTTCTCCAAAGTGTTCATTAGGATCCATGTCGCCGCCTATCCAATTCAATTGTTCAATCACCGTATCTGTGTAATCAGAAATCAATTGTTTTGTGCCGACTCTTGTTTTTCGATACAACTAGCGAATAAAATGTCAAACCCAATTTATATATATATATATATATATAAACTTTATTTTTTATTACCGTAGCGTTGCCCATATCCCCTAGATTGCGCGATAGACTTAATTTCAAGGTAAAAATCATGGACTTGCGATCCCTATCAAAGGCTCGAACATGATTTATTTCATCGATTCGTTTCTGTAGTAATTTCCAATCATAATCATTTGAATCGGGGTCTTGTATCCAAGCCGTACTACCTGTATTATATAAAAAAAATAATAAAACGATGAAAAAAAAAGGCTAAAGTAAAAAAAAAATTGCGTTTTGACAGTTGGTTTGTACCCTCGATTCTATCAAGTTCCGTAGCAGCATGATCCCATTCTTCAAATGACTTTGCATTGTTCATTTTGGAGAGATGGTAAATGTGTCCCTTATGATTGGCATACATGTCTGTAGCTTGAAAGCTCTAAGGAAGATAAGCATTTAGTTTTTGTGTGTGTGTGTATATAATTAAGATAAAGTGGGGTTATACATATTTTGCCAGGTGCCACAAGAAATCCCAGATTTGGATAAAAAGACTTGAATAGACTTCGAATACCGTATCATGTTGGTATAACATGATGTAACTGGAGAGTGATCTTTTCGACATGCCAAAATTGATCATTTTAAAAAACGTCGACATTTTTTTTTTTAAAAAAAAAAAAAAGAAAAAGTTGGAGAGAAAGCGAGTGAGAAGAAGAAAAGGGGGAGGTGGGGAGACGAGTTTTTATATGTTCATGTTATGAATAAAATGGCATGAAATCAATGTAAGGAGAAGCCGACCCGATTCTGTTTTATTTTATTTATTTTATTTTTTTTGTTAGAAAACGATGGGGTTCAATGTGTTGTGTTTGCATTTAGGTTCAGCTCGGATGAGACTGGCATCATTTTTTTTTTTTTCATATGTCAAAAGAAGGGCAGACATTTTACCGTAAAAAGAATGACATTTCGGTCAAGCCAAAAATTAAGGAGGAGTAGAATTATTTTTATTATTATCAATGGACTAAAATAGTGGGAAAATAAAAAATTATGGTGTAATGATTATGTAAATGAAAAAAAAAAAAAAAAAAAAAAGATTTTTTTTTTTTTTCTAAGTGAATGCTATTATATATACAGTTTCTATAATTAATTTACTGGTCAATGTTTGTAATGACGTTAGTAAATCCACGGATTTTTTGACACTCGTTGCGAAGATTGTCAGAGCGGGGAGTATCCCATCGACCGTCGGCGACAAATTGACGTGAGTAATGGAGACAGAGTTCTTCTCTAAAATGGGAATAGACTTTTCTGTTGAATAAACGCTATTTATAAATTATTTTTGTTAGTTTCTATAAATAAAGAATTGGGGAAAGGGTATATTTTTTTTAAAAAAAAAATGATTATTTTACCTCCTTCTTACGAGTGGATTCGGGGTAGTAATGAGATTGATGGATGAGAAAATCGTCGGGAAGCACATAATAATCGATACCGGAGAGATAGATTTCATAAAGACAAGCGGCCTTATTAGCGCCATAACCAATAAAACGTTCGTCACACCAAGGCGAACCTTGCTTCTTAAAGATGACATAGGGTTCATATGAGAAATTGTATTCGGTCACCTTGTAAGGACTTTCGGCCGTATACCATTTCATGTAGTTGGTGGCAGAATGGCCCTTTTCCCAACTCACATGGAACATATCCAGCTTTTGATTATCAAAGATTTGAAGCATGAGATCATCCTTGGTTTCGGGAAAGGTGGAATGATCAATGCCATCCGATTGATCCAAATATTCAAAGGCAGGTACCACTAAAGCGGTGTGACCTTGTCTCAACATGGACATTAAATTAGGATTCTGGAGAATGTGCGTGCGGAAATCTGTACAAAGATAGAAATCAATGTCAAGCATCATGAGGTAGTCAGTACGTGCATATAATTTGGCGGTATTGCGCCACATATTGAATTGTCTATCGTATTTGTCGATAATTAAATGAATATCCACATATTTCTTCATATCAGGATTGTCGACTAATGCTTGATAAAGTAAATTTAACTCTTTTTCCTTGTTTTCGTCGTCATTAATATGAATTGCTGCAGAAATAGGGCCTAATCATTGGGGATAAGGTTTAGATAAAAAAAAAAAAGGGGGGATACGTCATGATGTTGAATTTTTTTTTTTTTTTTTTTACCTTTGTATCGGGTTGCTAATCTACCGAGTACAGGGAATCTATCACTGGTAACAATAGTGGAAATCGTGATATCTTCGTTATGGAAATCATGAGTGGCTCTCATAAAAAAGGGTTGAATAACACTTGGGCCCATAGCACCGCCAAACATTTTTGATTGAACAATTGGATCTACATAAAAAAAAAAAATTGTTAATTGTTAGTTTTCGAACAAAAAGTAGAGAGGGGGGACAATAGAAATATGTTTTACCTTCTTTCTCAGAAACGACTTGAAAATGAATGGATTCTTCCTGTTCATCTTGGTCCATGATATCTTGATTCAATGGAGCAATAAAAAAGGAGTCTGGTTCGAGAACGCTTCTTCTAGCAGTTCTTGTCAAGGAAGAAGTCCCTGTGGTATAGACCTGAATTCCGATATATGTGAAGGACACAAAAATGTATGTCAAGAGCACAAATTTAAGCCCTGTTCTAGGTAAATAATCAGATAATTTCATTCAAAAAAAAAAAGATTATTGAAAGAAAAAAAAAATGAGATAGGGAAGAAAGATAGAAAGAATATTTTTTTTTTGGGAAACCATCGACAATCTATTTATGTTTAACAAAAGAGTAAAAGAAAAAAAAAATCTTAATCGGACTTCTGTGTTACCATAGAAACCAAAGGTTAAGTTTCTCAACTGAAAAAAAAAAAAAAGGGGGAGGGCGGGTGTAAATCAAAAGGCGGTATAAAACATTGAAAAAGCGCGCCTCTACTGTAAAAATAAAAAAGCGAGCTAGTATATAAGTGAAAAAAAAAAAAAAAAAAAAATCAGGACACAACATTTTTTTTTTTTGTGCGTCATTCTTTGAGATGAAAAAGCAATGATGTAGCACATCTGCTTTGCGTTGCGAGGAAAGCTTTAGTGTAACGGACAATGCGTTCAGAGCCTTATTTTTCTAGAAAACGTCACTTTTATTTATTTTATTTTTTGGCTCGGTACACCATCCGTAACTTTTTTTTTTAATCACGCCAAGCTTAAAAAAAAAAACTTCCTTCTCCGAACGACTATTTTCTCTTTCCTTCTTTTTCTTCTCATTTAAAATAACAACAAGAAAAAAAGATGCCAGGATATCAATCGTTTCCGGTTTTAAACCAACAGTTCATTGTGGACAAGAAGTTCCAGTTCATTCGTGAAATGGGTCAAGGTGCTTATGGTGTTGTTTGGTAAGGAAGAAAGAAGATTAAAAAGTTTTTGTTTTGTTTTTTTTTGTTTGTTCATCATCTCTCTTTTTTGTTAGTGCTGCCAAAGATACAGACAACAACGAACAAGTAGCCATCAAAAAAGTGTGCCGTATTTTTGAAAAGACTATTTTAGCAAAACGTGCCTTACGTGAAGTCAAGTTATTAAAACACTTCAACGGTCATGAAAACGTATGTTCTTTTTTGTACGTGTGTGCGTGTGCGTGTGTGAAAAGTATCCTCTTTTTTTTTTGGAAAAAAGAAAAAAACTAAAAAAAAAAGCAACTTGTAGATTACTTCAATCATTGATATGGATATTGTTAATCTTCAAGAATTCAACGAAATGTAAGTAATAGTCTATTGACAACAGGGGGGCAGGAGAATGACAAGCATTGACACCTTTTTAAAAAAGTTACCTTGTACAAGAGTTGATGGAAGCCGATCTTCACCAAATCATTCGATCCGGCCAACCTCTTACGGATGCCCATTTCCAATACTTTGTCTATCAAATCTGTCGAGGACTTAAATATATTCACAGTGCCAACGTATTACACAGAGATTTAAAACCAGGTAATTTGTTGGTCAATGCTGATTGTGAGTTAAAGATTTGTGATTTTGGTTTGGCTCGTGGTTATTCTTCTTCACCTGAAGGAAATGTTGGTTTTATGACCGAATACGTTGCAACTCGTTGGTACAGAGCTCCAGAAATCATGCTGAGTTTCCAAAAATATACCAAAGCTAGTAAAGTATCTTTAATGCCCCTTTTCCTCCCATCACTTTCTAATGATTTTATTTTTTTCTTAGTTGATATGTGGTCTGTAGGTTGTATCTTTGCTGAAATGCTAGGTGGTAGACCTCTTTTTAAGGGTCGTGATTGTAAAGTAAAAAGGAAGAGTGATATGGGATTTCTGGGGGTAAAGTGTTACTAATCATTTGAAATGGGATATCCTATATTAGACGTTGATCAATTAAACCAAATCCTCGGTATTCTCGGTACACCGGATGAAGAAACTTTATGTCGTGTGGGTAGTGAAAGAGCTCAAGTGTATATCCGTAGTCTGACAAGAATGCCCAAGATCCCCTTCCAAAACTTGTACCCAAGAGCTAGTCCCCTTGCTATCGATCTTTTAACCAAATTACTCGCTTTTGATCCAGCAAAGAGAATCACAGTGGAGGAAGCACTTGCTCACCCCTATCTCAGTGCCTATCATGATGAAGATGATGAGCCCGCTCATTCTCAACAATTCGATTTCTCTTTTGAAGTACTTGAATCAATGGAAGATATGCGCAGTAAGTTTATTTTTGGGGTTGTTGTAATATGTGAGGTTCTTAACCGTTTGCTTGTTTGTAGAAATGATTGCACAAGAAGTCATGACATTTAAAGCACAAAAGCAAGGGTTATCATTAAATACAGGTGCAGCTAATTTGAAGAGAAAGGAAAGCATGAGTGCAAATGATCGTGAAGCTTTTGCAAGAAGCAAAGATGTAGCTGCATCATCCAAGGATAGTCATAGAAATTCCTCTTCTATAGCTTCCACCGCAGCAGCAGCACCAGCAGCACATGATGATATTCGTCAGCACATGGATGTCGATGCACTTGAAAGAGAATTAGGTGGTGGTGTTTAATATATATTTATTTTTATCAGAAAATAAAAAAAAAACAATGTATTATTAAATGTTTATTGATCCTTCTTGGTTTCTTCCTGTAATTGAACTCTATCTTCTATGGGGAGAGGTAAATCCTCGCCTGCTTTATTATGTGCCACTCTGGCGACAGATGCGTCCACTTTTTCTTCAATTGGCTTGAATACTTTATCGACAATATGTTCAATGGGTTCATCAAAGATGTAAGGTAAGAAGGGAACAATACCCAGACCAAGTAAAGTGGGACCCCATGCTTTCACCTTGACATTCTTTACATTTTTGAAGCCATAAGCACTGTATTTGACGATCGAATGAATTGTCATCATAGGGAAGGCCATCGAAGCCAAGGATTGGAAAATACCACGCTTGACCATCGTAGTTGCTACCACCGTATTTTCCTAAGATTAAAATGCTTTGTGTCAGGTTGCGACCAAAAAAAAAAAAAAGATGAGAGGGGAATTGTTTTTATTACCTTTCCGGCATGAACAGATTTGTAACCTTCATAACCCACATCTAAACCCAAGTAGAGCCAACTGATACCGTAAGCAGCAGTGACAACGGCAGGAGGAACAATAGGTCGAAAAGCTTCACCGACGTCTGAAGTATATGCTAAATAACGTGTTGAGGCGACGAGTGCAGTACGCAAACGACCAGCGTATGCAAGGTAACGAGCGTTGCTTTCGAGAGAATCTACCTCTCCCTTCACTACCTTTTCGGTCAATGTTTCATCATGATTATCTTGAGTATTAGGCTTGGACATTTTTTTGTTTTGTTTTTATACAATGATAAAAAAAAAAAAAGAAAAAAAAGGATAATGCGATACCCCCCAATTTTTATTTAATGTTTTTTTTTTTTTCACCGGGAAAGAATGAGACAATTATGACTCTATAGTGAGGCCCGAATTAAACCGAAGCAGCCAATCATGTGGCTTACCAGTAAACGGGATATAGTAATACCCGTTGGGAATAAATGCTTGCAAAGCCTTTATACTCAGGCTACGAAAATCATTTTTTAGTGGCATTTCTTGATAGCTGAACACGTTTTTTTTTTTTTAAAAAAAAAGAAAAAAAAATCGAATAATTACATGAATAGCAGGTTTATACTAATTTGATATAAGTATGAAATGAGAAAACTAAAGGTCAATTCAACCGACATAATTTAAATACTATCCTTCTTGAAAAAAGGATAAATCAATAGACATGAACAATGTAATGATAGCACTATTTTTAGTCTGTAAAGCATGTGAATAAATATAATATCAATCAACAAGAACTTGTCAGCTTAAAGTTACACAATAATTAGCTATTTAACGGTAGAAACTATTTCAAGATTGGCTGCCAAGATGATGCATATGCTATCAAACACAGCAATAAAAGAAAGAAAAAAAAATCAATGACTCTGTTGAGGGTATCATAAATATAATAATAAAGTTAATTGTCACATCACATTGAAGATGGATAGTAATATAAAAGTTAATCATGAATCACACATTACCTCCGCTTGTTCTCATCCTACCGTTGAAGTCTGTACACAGGGCACAACCTTGTGGCGAGTAAATATTTAGTCTGAAAAAAGCAATACAATCGAATGGGCCTGGATTATGGAATGTTAACAGATCCTGAGCGTAAATATTACTCTTGTCATTTGATGTTTTAGTACTGCTGATCCCTCTGACTAACATTTATACACTCAGTATGGAAGGGTTTAGTGTTCGAACTTTTCGAGCTTGCACCGATCTTGTGCCAGTTCGAACGAAGCTCGAACCGAGTTTTTGTACTCGAGCTTGCGCCACTTTTTTTGGGTTCGAGCGAGCTTCGATCGATGCTCGCTCGGCTAAAATGTCGATAGTAGTCACTTTAAAGTTAAGGTCCTTGAAAGACTACAGATGGCATTTCCCCTTGATTTTAATCTTTTCTTCCCTTTACCATTTTTTTTTTTATTTATGCTCTAATAATTCCAATTAAAATGCTTTGGACTTTTATTTAATTGTACAACCAACAAACACATTTACCATAGAAAATGATACAGTGTTGCACACTATACCCAACTAAGCCAATTTTTTACAGCAACCATAGTAACATGACGTAGCAGAATTAATTTAAACTTTCATGTTCACAAATCCAAATGTATTATAATTATAGATGCAGTAATAGTTTGTTTTAATTATCCGAATTTGGTGTTAAGGTTGGTGAAAAAAAAAAGTTTTCTTTTTCTTTTTCCAACTTCTATTTCAATAAATAACAATTTTATTATCATAACTCTCTGTAATTAACATCACTTTGACGTGCACTTTGTGTAATAAAAAGGGCGAGCGAGTTCGAGCTATCGTATTCGCAACCGAGCCGAGCTTAAGAAACTTCGAGCGAGCTCGAGCTGCAAAAAAACGCATCCGAGCGAGCTTCGACTGGAACACGATCGAAGCTCGCTCGAGAGTTTCGATCTTCATTCCGAACACTATAAGGGTTAAATTTAAAGACGTGTTGATTATTTACTATCACCAGATTATTACATCATGATCCAATAAGGCGCTTAATATTCTCCCTAGAACTATCCCAGTTCTTTATATAAATATCCATAGTTTGTTCTCATAGACCACACATGAATACGTTTTTGAATTAATTTATTTTGTTCGTCCATAATAAAGTGGTATCCAAGTTCTAACAGCATCACTTTTGGTTTACTTTAATTTTGTTCTCCATGCAAAACAATTACAGCATGATCCAATAAGGCGCTTAATATTCTCCTTAGAGCTATCAAGTTCTTCATATAAATATCCATAGTTTTTTCTTATTAATTAATTTTTTTCGTCCATAAGAAAGTGATATCCAAGTTCTAACAGTATTACTTTTGGTTATACTTTAATTTTGTTCTCCATTCAAAACAGAGTCGTCTCAGTAAGCTGTCATTTTTTTATAAAGTTTTATTATGGTTGAACATAAATATCTGGCGACATGTCTTTAAAAGTGGCTTTTAAGTAAGATTAAATAAACAACGAACTGACAACATTGAGTGAATCAATTACTCATGATTTAGATAAACTAATTCTATTGATGAGGATGGGAGTATTTATAAGAAAAAATAAGTATGTGTAACATACATCCAGAATTCAAAGTGTGTGTAACAGCAAATTGGAAAGTTTACAAAACCTTGAATTTTATATTAAATTTCTATTAACATGAACCATCCTGAAATATTCTGTTTGCAAATGATCAGTTTTTAAATAATCTGATACCTTGAGACTTTTAGGATGTTTATCTTTGTAACCCATCCATCACTATTAACGGTACATCGATGGTTCGATATTCGTGTCGTGTAAATATTTTCTGTCGTATATACAGAAAACATCTTTTAGTGAATGCAACCACTTAAAAGATAAAATTACTTTAGAAAGATTACTTTATCGATTATTTTTTTCGTGTCACCTTATCCACACGCGGTTTACATGCAAGGCCTAAGAGGAACATAAAAATATCAAAAAAACAAGTTTCAATACAACAATTAATGTTGCACACATGGTCTACACATGTATATCGCAATACTCTTTGATCCCGATCCGTTGATCGATAAATACTTGGAAAAAAAATTTATTTATAATCCGTCATTATTTATAAATCGTCATTGTTTATAATCCAGCGATCACACATCGTTTCTTCTTTATTGTATACCTGTCTGTGTTTAATCGAATACTATCCACGAATTCAAGATCTATGTATGGACAAGATGCTGATATTGCGTACTTATTGGGGAAGAGCTCACAGATTTCTGATTAGTTGCTGTTGTGAAAAGTGCGTTGAAAATGAACCAGTGTAACTACCCTAATTTTCCATATGGATTTTTTATGATCACTGTACACCATACTCTCGTATCTCTGAGCCTATTTATCCGACACACATTGGCGGAGTACGCTGTATTGTTGTAATTTCTATGAAACGGACGTAAAACTGACCTCCAAACATAAGAAGCGTCAAGGACCGCAGTAAAATCCACAAGTGCGCGCCATGTCTTGGCATTTATATCATGTTATTATTGTATAATTTGACATTTTATTGGTCACGTAATCGATTATTTTGACGACAAATGTTACTCAAAGTTCTCCTTTGAGTTGGACGGAAATGAAAAATGACTAAATTTCTCTGAAAGTTTTTTTTTTTTTTAGTAAATCAGTAAGAATGATGCTGTCTCATAAAAAAAAGACGGCAATATGTTTGGATTAGCAGATATATTTTCTCGTAAATATATGACTCTGTGAAGGTTGTATTGTGTTGAAGTACAATGCATAATTTATAAAAAGCAAGAGGAACGTGTAGTAACTGGAAAGAGCTCGGGTGCACTTTGCTCCTATCATGTTGTGTAATAACCCGATACGGAAGACGTGAGAGTCCCAGGGAAGTCTAGTTGATATACGCGGCATATTATTGTGTTTAAATGGAAATTCCTGTGATCATCATATATAGCTGTCCGACATGGCGCGCAACAGATGTAGCGATGACAGACCTCTAAAAATGAGCACGATGGGAAAAAGTGCCAATGAGAAAGGCGGCATGGCTTGTGTTTATTTATGCAAATACCAAACTTTAATCGAATGTTGTGTCATGATTTGATCATGATAAGTAAACCAGACATACAGGCCAGAACTTGGTGTTTATTGAATAAAGATGACCTGGGGATCAATTTATAAATCATTTTGGACACAACAGGTCGTGAGAGACAAATGCAATTTTTCTTTTTTTTTAGCAAAAAATGAGTGACATCCAGTGACACTCATAAGGCATAACTCTAAATCCATATGGGGATACGGATCAAAATGGGTTGAGTCTGGAATGCATATCCTTAAAAAGAAAGGAGGGGAAGATAAACCAGTTTCTGGTTAAAGGGCTGAACAAAATCCTTTTTGACTTGCTTTGACGCAGCGCAGATGTGTCCAATCAGAATTTTAGAGATAAACCAAAAACAGAATATCTGAATTGGAGCATAAATAAAGCTACATCATTCGGCAGCTACTTCGGCCCGAATTATCCAGCTGATGAGTGAACATGTAGTTTCTTGTTTAAAAAGTTATATTTTAATGAGCATTTTAGTTTTAAAAAGATTCCCGATGTAACATTTTAAAATGAAGGGGAGATTGAATAATTTTTAAAGAGATATATCTTGAATATGTTAATACAATCATACCACTGATAGACTCTTCCGGTGGGGACATCTGAGATCTCAAAGGAATTTTGAGCATTAGGATGAGGGATAACTTTAAAAGAAATGGGTACGTGCTTTAGATTAAAGATTATCGATATATGATATCTAGATAAATGACAAGTACTAAATCAATGTCCCCATCACCCACTATTTGGTAAATCTGAGTAGGAATGGGATTGTTGCGTTTTTTTTTTTTTTTTTTTTTTTTCTTTTTTTTCTTTTTTTTCTTTTTTTTCTTTTTTTTCTTTTTTTTCTAATTCTTTAGAATTGAGAGATAATAAACATGTGCTTAAACAAGTAATACCATAAAATAAATTCAAATAGACCGTTTTACTGGGTTTCGGCGGAGCTATAGAGATGGTCACCATAGCATCCGTTAGGTGTCGTGTCAAAAAAATTCTTAAAAGCCAACGGCACTCTCTATTTGTCTAGAGTTAAACACCAATTAACACTTTATTTGAGGTTTTTCGTGCTCAAAATGAGTTTGTCAATTACAAAAGAATTATTCAATGGGATCAATAGTTGTCTCTGATTTGATAATTCTATATGTTTAGATCTGATTTTTGAGAGCGTTCCTTACTTTTTTTGTAAAAAAAAATCACAGGGCCTTTGACATTTAAGTTGTAACACGTGATGGATCTTATTTTTTTTTTTTTTTTTTTTTTTTTTAAAAAAAAAAAAAAGTTTCGAATAGTATATTCTGATAAAAAACAAATAATGGAAACAACAATTTTTTCGTAGATAATACCATTCTCTTTTTGTTTGATGTAAGGAAAGCGATCGATCAAAATTTATATTCAATTGTGTAAAAAAAAACTTTTTTTTTTTTATTTTTTTTTTATTATTATTTTTTGATATACTTTTAGTATATGTCATACACCGTTTAAGCAATGTATATAGTATCGATTAAAAGATTACACGTTTATCAATTAAATATATTACAAGTGATAATAATCTAGCGTCTATTTATCAACTGCAGGGCTTCATAATTTTTAAGTGGTATGTTTTTTTCCGATTTGTTTTTTTCTGCGCAGTTCCTATGTTTTACACTATCTTTTTGTGCATTCCTTTTTTGTTTCAAAAAGAAGCCACTTCTATCAGACATATTTGCTAGATATAACTCGAATATTCCATCTGTTTTCCTTTGTAGCAATGCCCTGCAGATGTTTCCTTACATGTTTAGTGCTGTAAATACGATCCGATGGGTGGCAAAGGTCTTGGTGTAATGTTTTTGTTTTCAAGCTTCTTTGTTTTTATTTTCTAAATAAAGTATATGTTTAAGTTTATAAGTACCGGGTGTTTACAGGGGATATTCGTAAGACGGTAGTTGCATGACTACGTGAGGCCCCTTCCTTGCTGGTATGTGTTTTCTATGTTTCAATTCAATATCTTTCCACTTCGTTTTTTTTTTTTTTTTTTTTTTTTTTTGTTTTGTTTTGTTTTGTATCAAAGATCAATAATCTAAAAAGGTTCTTTTTTATAATATAGAATAGTAACCACTTGCTAAAAATAGAAAAGAAGAAAAACAAGCCAATAGAAAAATTGATCGATGGTACAGAGACCAACAGGTTGGTTCAAATCTAACAGTAACGATCGTAAGGATATTTCATTGGTATAGATTTTGGTAGTAATGAGAGGGCGATATATTTGATATTACTCAGCAGCATTTGCCGGAGAGAAACCCCATTTGTTTGTTGCCTTTTCTTTTTACTTTTTTTTTTTTTTTTGAAAAAAAAAAAGGTTTTGTGCGCTTTATGGATAGTTTTGATTGACATAATGAATCCGGATCTGAAGCACAAAGACAGGGAGAATAAAATATACTTGATCCAATTATAGCGATGGAGTTTTATTTTTACCTGATGCTAATCGCGATTAATATATCAAGTTAGACTTGATACACAAAAAAAAAAAGAATTTCTTATATAGTTTTATTTTATTTTTTTAGTGCCATCAGCGGAATATGTAGTAAGTAACATGATTCAAACATGTTTAGGGTATAATTATTTAATTAATCTGTATAAAAGCTTCTATCATAACAAGTTTAGGTAGAATAGCGATTTTTTTTCATGCAAAAAAATGATTTATTATTATTTTGTTATTGTTTTTAATTTATTTGACGTCCGTAGAGAAGACTATAATTAGTTGTTTCCGTCAGAATAGCTATATGTAACTTTTTTTTTTCACACAGCATGATGGAAACACAGTTTATTTTTGTTGGTATAGATGTTAAGAGAGGAAGAACGGATAATTACATAAGAGGTAATAATAATATAAAAAAAAGCCAATGAAATGCCGACCTATCTCAGGCACGATTATTAAAAAGAAAACTCTAATTTAATAACCATAAAGTAATCTTTTTTAGCGAGCGTGGGAGGGTGGATTAATCAAAAAGAGATTGTAACAATAAGTTTTCGGGAACACATAATGCATAATTAATAAATCTCGGCTATCTATCTGGGCAGACTCTAAAGTCATCTGTTCCAAGGAAAATAACTGAATTAGAGTTGAAGTTACTACAAAACCTACAGCATGGATTGACATCATCGTTAGATCCTTTTTAGAAACTCGGCCCTTTCCGTTAACTTTGTAACAATTTATCCACCGTTATACCAAGACATTGTCCAGTGAAACTCTAATCTGTGTACACTAGACAGAAACTGTCCGTTCTGTAACACTTCTTAATGAATTCTTATGTTTAGTAAAATATTTCTAGAGATCGAGGACATTCAAATAATTTTTTAGTGTGTTTTTAATCTTTCAGCTTCATTTAGACCATCGCATGATTCTCGGCCTACGGGCGGAGTATTTCTAATAATTTTCTCTTGGTTGCTATGCAGAAATCGACTGAACAATTTATCATTGGACAATTTACAAACAAAGTGATCGTGCATTAGTATCTAAGCCATGGAAAAACCAGTCTACTTTTGATTTGAAAGTGTGCGTAGCCACAATGGGGGGGGGGACAGTCACTATTATGACGCTATTGCGGTCCGCTCTATCCGACTCACCCAAAAATCAAGGGACTGAAACAGGCGAGATTAGAACAGTAGTACATTGGGCTCCTTAAAACGAATAGTAAGAATATTGCGTTATGAGAGTGTAAGAACGAACAAAAAAAAGATTTCTTTTTCTTTTTTCTTGTTTGGTTTATCCATGGCTTTTCTCGTGCCGAAACTTCTTTACGTGTGCCTGTACTCGTTGTATGGCTCAGCAATAGCTTATTTAACAATTTTCTATAGTGAATCGTTACACCTAAACTCAAATCAGATCGGAATTGTATTGGCTATTGCGCCATTTGTTCAAGTGGTCGCTTGTCCAGTGTGGACATGGTTAGCGGATAGATATCCTAAATTGCACGGTCCACTCATGGGCATTTTAGCAACTATCGGAGGCTCGAGCGTTTTAGGTTTATACTTTCTGCCAGAGATGTTGACTGAGATTGATAAACGCATGATGGCAACGTGTGTTTTGGGGTTTGTATTTGCATTTTTCGGTAGTCCTATCTGTGCACTGGTAGATAGTGCTGTGCTGAAAATATTAGACGATCAAAAAATATTATACGGTAGATGAAAAAAAAAAAAATTTGTGAATCCTTCCCAATTTAACCCACATTATTGTTTAGGTAACCAACGATTATGGGGGTCCGTTTCTAATGGAGTTCATATACTAGTGGTGGGATTGTTGATCGCCCAGTACGGAATCAATGTCGCGTTTGCTATATTTTTTGTGGGATTAGTGTCATTCGTGCTCTTATCCATATTGTTTGTACAGTTTGATAAACACATGATCCACAGGAGTTCACATGATAATACAAACAATAGCGAAGAAGAGGAGACGAATTCATTATTGGCGGGCAAATCGACCCCTCTCACTGGTACGAATTATATGTACGACCCATCCTCCACAACATGGTCACACTATACAACTCATCCTCCAAGACCATCACGTAGAGAGTCGCAACAAAGTCAGAATACGAGAAGAGAAAGTATCGCAAATACATTGTATTTATCAGATGATCAATTGCACACGTTAACAAATGTAACCACAACAAGTCTAATGGCTATGGATGCTCGTATAGAAGCCAATCATGAGCTGTTGCAATCCGACATGGCCTATCCGCCATTAGGATTAGCCTTAAGTTTGATACCTACCATGGATACATCCATGTCAGCATTTGCACTACTGGGACAGGAGGACGAATATGGGATACCCGAAAAAGCAATTTTAAAATCATACATTGTGTATACTTTTATGATTTCGATACTCTTGTACGGAATTTCGCATTCGATGATTAGTCAGTTCCTGTTTCTGTTGTTGAAGGATCTTGGAATGAGTCCGTCTATCATTGGCTGGACAGGCCCTATCGGAGGGACAGCCGAGGTGATTACATTTTGGCTTTCAAGACAAGTAGGTATAGAGAATAAATAAATCCCCTCCAAAAATAACTCATTTGCAATCAGTTATTTGACAAGTATAGTGTTACTTTCTTGATGACATTGGCTTACTTGTCATTTATGTTTCGTGCCTTAGTTTACACGTGTTTAACCTCATATGAAACTAAATCGATCATCGTTGCTTTATTACTACAGATCATCAACGGTGAGAATTTTTTTTAAATTGCACATCAACAAATGATCTGATATTGGTTTGTTTTAGGGTTTGCTTATGCACTTGTTTGGTCCACAGCAGTTGCGCAAGTCGACGGTTTTTTCCCGGTAGAACAACGGTCGATAGCACAAGGAATTTTGGCCTCGTCCTTTTCAGGACTAGGATACGGAATTGGGTGTGTACTTGGCGGTTACATTTACAGTGTGTATGGATTTATCCGGTTATTCCAGACCTCCATTGCGATCTGTAGTATCAGTTTAATTGTATTTTTATCAGGAAGAAGATAGCTATTTTTAAAGTTAAATAAACATGAAACTCCGACTTCAAAGACTAATAAAGAAAATTTCTCGATCATCAGCTAGAAAAAAAAATGGTTTTATTTAAGCGCTTGTAGGATAGTACTGGGGGATGCTTACATGTATTGTTGTTGTTGTTTATATGTGACATTATCTATATAAAGTCATGTGTAAAACACCAAATTGTTTGTTACCTTTTCTTTGTGGCCGATAATATGAATAAATATCTTTTTTAAAAAAAAGTCATGGTAGATAATAGAATGTGAGGGATGGGCCCTTTTTTGATTTATTTTATATATTCTTTATTTTTTTCCTAAAATATTCATTATCGCCGAAACAATTGTAAACTGTACACGCGTGTCTGACTATAAATAAAGCCAAGACAGTGATATTAAAAAAAGTGAATCAGAAAAACAGGTCTCAGGTACGGGTTACTTTAGGCTAGTCCGGATTCGTCTTTGACATTTCATTTTTTTAATCACCGGTCCAGGGGGGTATCGATAATCGTCTTTCTGGGCTGTTTACCACAGGAAGTAGAGAGTGAGTGAGTGTGTGTGTGTGACAACTCCGCCCAAAATAAAAGCACTTACGCACACACGGCATGCCGATCGATCACACCCATATAAATAGCAATCATTTATTTTAGTTTCTTTTTTTTTTTTTTTTTTTTTTTTTTTTTACCTTTTTCACCCCCTCTCCCCTTTTTTCTTTGTTTTATGCACATAAAAAGAAAAATGTCAAGATTTGAAAATCATCCGCCGTTCAACGAACAAGTATTTGTTAATTCTATTGGAAAACTTGCAACGGATCGAAAAAAATATGATTGCACTCTTTGCCCCAAATTCTTTACACGTCCAAGTGCATTACAAACACATATCTATACACATACTGGAGAGAAACCTCATGGATGTGACATGTAAGTGTTACTATGCCCGTTGCTATGGTTATTTATATACTAACTAGCTTGTTTCATAGGCCTGGCTGCAATCGTCGTTTTGCTGTGATTAGTAACCTGAGAAGACATCTACGTGTTCACAGACCATCTCATGTTAGACGTCGTTTGACCTCTCAAGAAAGACGTGGATATGTTGAAAGATTAATTGAAAGATCTGGCGACTCACCATTTGTTCCTGGTGACAGTATTGATGAAGGCCATATGAACTATAATACGTTTCCTTCCATGTGCTATTCATCCAGCTCTTCTACCTCTTCTTCATCTCCTCGTGGCAGTATGTCTCCAACCATGGAATCAACAACTTACCGTCTCTTGAAACCAAAAGAAACTCGACCCGTGTGTTTAACAGTTCAACATTTGCTAAATTAAGATACCTTTCCTTTCCTTATTATAACTATCCTTCTTTTGTTACATATCCTCTTTTTACCAGTACTATACATATCACCTATGCCCCCACACACCCTTTATTTCATATACATCTACAATTCCTGCTTTTTTTTTTTTTTTTTTTCTATATATTATACACATCCCTTTTTACTTCTGTCAAATGGTTTTTTCCAATACTGGTACTTTGGTCATTCCTTTATATATATTTATACATACTTTTACCTTTTTTTTTTTGCTTATTCTGTTCCTCTATTCCCTTCATGTATATCCTTTCATTTTTTCGTCCGAAAGTTCTACAAAATATATACTCCATGTAACCCTAACCTATGTTAAAGTTAGTCTTTTTTTTTTTTTATATATATTATTTTTTTTAATTGTCTCCTATCCAATAAAAAAACAGGCTTGTGGAACATGTTATTTTATTTTTATTTTTTACCTTTTTTATCTTCTTGTTCACCAACTTTAAAAAAAAAATGGAAGGCTATTTTGGCTTTCAAACAATGACAAGCACGCCACGAACCTTTCCAGAAATGGACCTGGTAGACGTACAAGTAAACAACGAAGAAAAAAAAAAGTTTAAAAAATTCAAGATTTGTACTCATTGCGCGATTTAGAATAACAAGATTAATGTGCCATTACTGGCATCGACGCATCGCCTAATATTAATAACACTAAAGTGTGCTAGTTGCGCCACCTGTCCACAACTTTTAAAAATTCTGAATGTATATGGTCTGGAACCGGATATAAATCATTATACCGACCCATACACCCTCGCAGAGCTAAACATGGATTCTGACCGAAAACAAGTGAGAAAAAGAGACAGAGAAATATTTATGATGATGATAGTATTGACTTTAAACTAGTTCTTCCGACTTTTATTAAAATATGATGCGTATTTCATTATAGTATGTCCTGGCACGGATGAGGAGGTGGCAGAAATCCAAAGAGGCACCCCATTTATGGACTATCCATTTATAGCGGGTGAGGGAGCTATGCAGCTGGCCAAAGCACTCAAGGTGCAGATGAGCGATACATTGTTGATGCCGGCCATATTAGAGGTGCGTAAGGAGACGTTATTAGTGGAGGCTATTCATATTGGTCGTGAGCCAGGTCGGTATTTTCATCAACACTTATTGGGAAGATTGATGGAGGAACGATATAAATTAGAGTCAAGTGCTATTATTTGTGTCAAAGATACATACAAGGTCATGAATCAGATAAAAAGAAAACGGATGAAATGCCAACAAGGAAATATGGTGGCACTCTCTCTAGCTCTGCCCACCGCCTCTGTGTCGGCTAAAGAACCTGAGGTTATAAAGAATCATAAACAAATACAGGACTTACCATTGGAAATACTGGAAACTATCTTTTCATATTATTCCCATGATATTCCAAGCCTCATAAAGTCCGCCAGAACTTGCCGCTTGTTTTATATCACTGCATGCAATGTCTCTATCTTGTGCCTGAAGAATCAAATGATTTATTTGAAACAAGCTTTGCCACAGACACACGACGGAGAGGTCATTTGTCATGAGGCGGAGGTACGAGATCAAAGCCTAGATCGTTGGTCCAATAGACATCCTATTTCATTTCGCGAATTAGAAAATCGTCTTGAAAATGCAAAACAGAAATTATTACTTTTGGCTCATTGGACGACCTCCACGAGGTTATCAAATGGTTATTAATAGCTCCATGTTTATTATTGTTATTCTAAATTATACGCGCAGATCAAAATACATCTTTCTTTTTTTTACAAAATCGTCTTTCTTTTTTTATTTTCCTTTAAACATGTGCTATTCTCACAAATAATTACTTTATTATATTGTTTTTACCGTAGTGTTGTTTCGGTGACGACTTGTCTTTATTACATCTCCTCCAAAATATTCTACTTGCATATTCTGCATCTTTTCCACTCTGGAGAATATATTAAAAAAAAAAATAACCGATCTATATTTAGAGATAGTAATATTCTTCTGCCTTCTCTCTTAATAAATAGTCTAAAATAATATTGGTCCTGGTCTTTTTACGAGGGGCAGAACACCGCTGTTTCGAGAAGTTTTTTTTTTTTTTTCGGTGTGGTACAGAAAATAGGATGGAAGAAAGTCTCTTGTTCCGGAAAGCTACGCATTGACGTCATGGACAGAGATACAACCTCGCCTTTGTCATACGATTGAAAGGCATAAAAATGAAACATGTTGCGTCATTCTATCAAACTTGTATTTTTCATATCTCACATAGATTACTTTTTTTAAAAGAAAGAGAAACATTTTGTTTGTGTACACTAAATGAAAAATGTATGGTCCCCAGAAGGGACAGGAAAAATAACAAACATTTAGTGCATCACTTGTCCCTTTTTTTTTATTATTATTAAAAAAGGGCTGTTCCGTCACCCGCTGCTCATCACTTTTATAAGAAGTATGCATGGCTACACGATAAATTATGGACACCGGGGTTGCCAAGATCGACATATGTGGTGTACTTAGCATACTTCAAAAAAAATTCATGCGAATCTCAAAAATTGAACAATCTCGCGTTTTGAGGAGGAGTATAAATATGAATGGCACTGTCTTTTTAAAAACTAGAAAAAAATTTTCATTTTCTGGTTTGTTACACAAGAGAGTGTAAAAGTAATTTTTTTATTTTGAATAAATGATATTTGACAAGAGAGAAAGAAGAAAAGGAAAGAATAATATAATATTACAATTTTGATGCTATACAGTAAAATAAAATGCGAGTATTTGAATAAGGTAAAGAAGTGGGGAGTGTGGGGGGAAATCTAATAACGACCGCGACCTCCACGATCACCACCGAAACCACCACGACCACGGCCTCCACGGTCACCACCGAAACCACCGCGTCCACCGCCACGTCCACCACCGAAACCACCACGGCCTCCACGGTCACCACCGAAGCTACCGCGTCCACCACGGAAACCACCACGGCCTCCACGGTCACCACCGAAACCACCGCGTCCACCACGACCACCACGACCACCACCTACTCTGGCACTATCATCTCCACCGGAGAAATCAGTTCTGATAGGACGACCTTCGATGCTGACACCGTTCATACCCAAAACAGCAGCTTCAGCTTGATCTGCGTTTTCGTATTGAACATAACCGATACCACGAATCTTACCAGTATCTCTGTTGACAGGCAAACGAACATCACCAACAATGGTACCGAACTTTTCGAAAGCTTGACGGATAGCATCTTCATCTAAACCGTGGGCCAAGTTGGCCATGAAGACAGTATCGGTCTTGGGGCCAAAGTTAGTATCCTTGACACGAGGGTTGGCAGGAGTAGCATTATCGACCTTGATGGTACGACCCATGAATTCAGAACCATCCAACTTCATGGCTTCAGCCTTACCAGCTTCATCAGCGAAATCAATATGAGCGAAACCCTTGGAACGACCAGTATCGTAATCCATACGGAGTCTGACTTCGACAATTTCACCACATTGGCTGAAATGTTCTTTGACGTCTTCAGACTTGGCTTCGTAACTAAGTTGACCAACCCAAACGGTGGCACCATCAGCACCAAAGGTCTTCTTGACAACTTCTTCGACCTTTACAATCTTCTTGGGACGTTCTTCGACTTGTTCTTCTTCTTCGTCTTCAGAAAGAGCACGCTTGTTATCTTGTTCTTCCTCTTCAGCGGAAGACTCTTCCTCCTCGGCAGAGGACTCTTCAGCAGAGCTACCGGACTCGACAATTTCTTCGGCTTTGACTTGAGCAACAGACTTTCCCATTTTTTTGAATGTAGTTTAAAATATAAAAAGTGATTAAAAGATCTTGAATCTATTTTCCCTTTCCTTTTATTTAACCTTTTTTTTTTTTTTTTTTTTTAAACAGCAAATTAAAAAAAACAGCCTGCTTTTACTGTTGTGACTCCCTTCCCACAGTGGCTTTTCTTTAATTTTTTTTTTTTTTTTGCATTAAAAATCTTGTGCTACGCATCTTTAATTCGTACTCAGGCAAAGAAAACGTTTTTTTTATCTGTCATCTCTTATTATCATTCTACAAATGTTTCTTCAAAGTGGGATGCGTGTGTCTTGTGGATTTATGCCTCGATGTATGACTGTCATTAAGATCATTGGACCGTTCTTTTTCTGATAACACCATGTTTAACATCAAGGATTCTTTTTTTCTACTAGCAGCAGCAGAACCTGATAAATTAGGTCGGGTGTGTGCACCTGTGACATTTTTTTTTTCACCAAGATGGGTTTGCATCTCTACTGCTGCTGTCAAATAGACTTTTGTGTCGCCTTCCTTTTTTTTTCGTTCGGGATATTGGTTGGAATAGTGCCAATAAGAAAAAAATCTCTATGTTTGGGAGAGAGAAACGAGTGCTTCTTCGTTCATGATACTGGGTGCGCAAATGATAAAGCTGCTTATTGCTTGTACTACTTTGTATTGTTTAAAGTGAGCTCTAAAGTCTAATCCAATGACTAGTACATCGATTTAACTTTCTTTTTGATGGGTGTTGACCAACATATTTATGTCTGTGGTGGTGAGGGATACTTTAAACATTTTATAATGAATAAGGTATTCCCGTACTATATTTAGCAAGTATCTAGAAGCGGTTGACGTCACCAAAATTAGATGAAATACCATCTATTTTTCCAATGTATTAATCATTTTACTAATGAAGAAGAAGCTTTTAAGAGTTTAAGAATATGTATCGGATGCTGCCTAAATTATAAAAAGAATATTATACTTTTTTATTGATTTGGTTTTGGGCGTTGTCTTTTAATTACCAGAAGCTTTGCTGGGATTTTTTCTTGCTCTTTCAAACAAACGAATATCGCAGCAATCATCTCTTCTTGATAATATGCAGAAATTTCAGAACAAGTTGCTTAGTGTGCTACTCAACTTGGCCGTCTGATATCGTTACACTTAAAGAGATATCCATCCATTATAGTGAACTAAGTAGAGTCCACTAATACATATGTGGTGGGCTCCTGGTTGGCAAAGAAGCCCAAACAGACAGAAAACGGAATATAAAATGAAATCAGACGTTTATTAATATATATGAAAAAAAGTACTGATTTAGCAGTTGATTATGTATTCAGATTAGTCCAATGTCTATTTCAAATTAGGGCGATACCTGTTTGGCTCAATATAGAAAGCTATCTTTTTTTGGAAAAAATAAACACATTCCCGGCGTAAAACAAGTTCTTGTTTATCAATATTCTTTTTAGATTTTTTAAGAACGGGCCCAGAACTATCTTTTTTTTATATATATACATAAAGTGAGTGGTTAAAATAAACAATCGAATGATCACATACTGACGTAAACATTTAAACTCTTGCTTATTGCATTCGTTTTATCGAGAATAAATAAATAAATAATAGTCTTCCTTTCTTTTAGAAAACAAGTGATGTCGTGTTTTTTTTATTATGATTGGGGTCATCTGAAAAGCACACCCGCACACACATAATAAGGCGCAGGACCAGGGCCTTTCCAAAAATAAAAAGGAACAAGTCTAATAACCCGAAACAAATAAGCTGCTGAAGGCGCACTTATCATGTTTAGGCTGGGTTTACCAGATGTGGTATTTTTACTTTGCATCGTAATCTATTGTCTTTAAGGTACAAGACCAATTTTATTTCTAAACCCTAAAATTTATCTGTGCGGGTACTAATTTGGTGAGAGTCTATCAATCTTGTTGATTCATCTCAAAGTTTTTAGCCATTTACACATATGCCGAAAATATCTGGTATTTCTAGCTTTTTTCTTTTTAGTAACATAGGTAGTGCTTTCTCTAACAAGGCATGGATTTATTCTGCTTTTGTTGGCTTATAATATAAGGCACTCCTTTGATTTTGCGCTACCAAGACCCCTCTTGATAACAGTTGGAACAAACATGCATTCTTTCTTCAAAAGATTGTCATGAAACGAGTTTGTCATGTGTTCTTCCTCAGAACAATTAGTTTTTACACTATCAAAAAAACAATAAAAACAAATTGGCAACATTGAACAAAGAACTTATTTATATCACTGACTGTGGGATTATAAAGGTTAACAAAGCATTATCACAAGCTCAAGTGAGCCAGAATAAATATATAATTTGTCTGAATATAAAGTGAGGTTACTGTAACTCCCAAAGATGGGCTTATTATACCAACGTCATACTTTAAATGTAAAATGAATCCACTCCAGGAATGGATTACTATCTGACAACAGAAATGATCTCTCGGTTTTTATCTCTTGAAATTACGGGATGACCATCCTAAAGACTTGGCTTCATGTGGCAAGAGATGATAGCCAGAAAACCATCGACAGCGCTTTCAGAAACTACTCACGGACATGGGCAGATCCCGTATGGGGTGTTTCTTAAGCGTCCGTTTTTCATAAAGCCTTACTAAACTTCAAACGTTTATTACCGATGCAGAAGAGTATATGATTGTGTAAATTTAAATATTATGCCGTGTAAATATAACATATAACACTCCATTGTAATATTGTCTATCTCCTACTGTAAATCTATTACGTTGTAATCTTTTTTTTATTTGCATTTTGGTTTATTTGAAATATAAAAAAAAAAATCGAGCGATGCAATTATAGTAAGAAATCAAAAGTAAAAACATGTCAAATCATTAAATGATATTTACTAAGATACTTGTAGACTCGACATGTTATTCTTATCACATTTTGTCTAACCGCACTATTATCACCGTTAACAAGACAGTCTTTACACAAACGTACCTTATTGGAATCCAAAAACAATTGACAATATCACAAGCTTGGAGGCTAGAAATGTCAGAATGTTGACGTCCAGTTTCTTTTTGACTACGAAAACAAAAGATGTAGCTACAAAAGAAGCATGCCAATAAAAGAAATAAAGGGCAAACAACGTTTGCTTTCATGAGCAAAATTGTGTATACTCTACGCACTTCCAACATCATTGCTGTTGAATCCTTTTTTTTTTTTAGATCGGCTCTGACAGCGATCCAATCCTACAAGGTTTCTACCACAGCAAATGATCAATGAGTCAGAAAAGACATACAGGGAACATATGCAAAAAACACAACAGGAACAAATCTTTGTTATCATCTTTGCCAACGAGAGAACACACTATTTGAGGTATTTTCGGTTGGTAAAGAAGATGCGTTCCCAAAGCTAAAAACTCTATCCAAAAAGAAAAAACTGAGCCCAATTTTTCCCTCAAAAAAGCCAGTTACTGATTTCGAAAAAAAAATGTGGGCCAATGAGCGCTGTCAAAATGGGAAAAGCTGATCCCAACTAAAATTAGAGTGAGAATTTTTAGTGCCAAAGTTACGTCAAAAAAAAAAAGATGTGGGGAATACGGGGTGCGGTGAAACAGTTGTAAACCCTTCTATCCTGAAACCGTTGAAAAAAAAAGTTAACGTTTTTTTTTTTTTTTCATAGGCCCACCTTATGAATCAATGAATATGGGTGGACGCGTTTGTAAAAAAAAAAAGAATGTACTCGTGAACATCACAGCAGATTCTAAAAAAAAAAAAAAATGATGAGAGAAGAAAAAAAAAATGATTTTTTTTTCGCGTGTAAAGGCTATTTAGGCAAACCCATCTTTTAGATAATCTTTTTTGATGGATAAGGATTACACAAAAAAAAAAGAAAACGATTGAGTTTATAATTTAGATTATCATCTGCAAACAGAAAGTAATGCAGATTATTGGCTAGCACTAATACGGTAATTTAATCTCACCCACTATGAGACTGTTAGATTATGATAATCTATTAAATAACACTCACACACACATCACAAAAAAAAAAAAAAAACGTTCTTGATATAAAAAAAGAGGAAAATAACCCTTTCCTTTGTCTCTTTTTTATTCTTTATTTAATTTTTTATTCTCTCTTAAAAAAAAAGACTTCTTGTATTAATAAAAAAAAAATGTCTTCTCAAGCAAACGGCAATTATAACCCCAAGGAAGGTGTCAGCTCTCCCTACATGTCAAATGATCCCAACTCCAACGTCAACAACTTTAAGATCATTGAATCTACTCTCAGAGGTAAAAGATTTTTTAAGAAAAAGGCCATTTCCGTAGGAAAATGAATACTAATGGATTTTGATATAGAGGGTGAACAATTTGCTAATGCTTTCTTCACTACTGAAAAGAAGATTGGTAAGTGCACTATCCCACACACAAGCAAGAAAGAAAAAAAAAGACGGGGAAATAATTTTATTAACTCTTTTTTTTTTAATTAGAAATCGCCAAAGCACTCGATGATATTGGTGTTGATTACCTTGAATTAACTTCACCTGCTGCATCTGAACAATCTCGTAACGATTGTACTGTTATTTCTAACCTTGGCTTAAAGGCCAAGATCTTGACTCACGTCCGTTGTCATATGGATGATGCCAAGTTGGCCATTGATACCGGTGTGGATGGTCTTGATGTGGTGATTGGCACATCAAGTTTCCTTCGTGAATTCTCTCATGGTAAGGATATGGATTATATCACCAAGCAAGCCATTGAGGTCATCACCTACATCAAGAGCAAGGGCCTCGAAGTACGTTTCTCTACTGAAGATTCTTTCCGTTCCGATCTCGTGGATCTCTTGAGTATTTACAAGGCTGTCGACAAGATTGGTGTCAACCGTGTGGGTATTGCTGATACCGTCGGCTGTGCTAACCCTCGTCAAGTCTATGAACTTGTCAAGACTTTAAGAAGTGTCGTCAGTTGTGATATCGAATGTCATTTCCATAATGACACGGGTTGTGCTATTGCTAACGCTTATGCCGGTAAAGTTTATTTTTGAAAAAAAAAAAAAAAAAAATGTGGTCCATTACTAAACGGAGTTTTTTTTTTTTTTGTGATTCCAGCTTTGGAAGCTGGTGCTACTCATATTGATACTTCCGTTCTCGGTATTGGTGAGCGTAACGGTATCACTCCTTTGGGTGGACTTTTGGCCAGAATGTATACGGGTGATAAGGAATACGTAAAGACAAAGTACGATTTGACCAAGATTCGTGAGGTGGAGAATATTGTTGCTGAAGCCGTGGAAGTGACTGTACCATTCAACAATTACATTACGGGTTACTGTGCTTTTACTCACAAGGCTGGTATCCATGCCAAGGCGATTTTAAACAACCCATCCACATATGAAATTTTGAACCCCCACGATTTTGGTATGACCCGCTATGTTAGTATTGGTCATCGTTTGACTGGTTGGAATGCTGTTAAGAACCGAGTGGAACAACTTGATTTGGATTTGACAGATGATGATGCTAAGGCTGTGACAAACAAGATTAAGGAGTTGGCTGATGTGCGTCCTCTTTCTTTGGACGATGTGGATGTCTTACTTCGTTCTTACCATCAAGCTAAGGCAGATGGTGTTCATACCCATTTCTTGAATAAGATTGAAAAGCCCGAACATATTGCCACCATCAGTGCTGAGGCTTCTGCATAAAAAAAAAAAAATACAATTTATAAATAACTTCCACACCCCCTTTTCCCCATAACAAATGTTTATTCATAGATCCTCTCTTTCTTCTATACATATTTAATTTATTTTTTTTCTTGCTTCAAAAAAAAAAAAAAAAAAAAAAAAAACCTTCCACCCCCTTGTATAAACTATTCCAAATAAAACATGTTTCAAAAAGATCTGCGACCGGGAGTTTATTATATTGGCGAGGGCAGTCGAATTATACTTTGGTCAATCTATGATTCGGTATGAAACACTTGTATCTGCTAACTGAGTTGTCTAAATGAACAGGGCACACATGATCCCAAATTTATTATAGATGAACAAGACCATTTTTAAGAATACAACATTCGGGATCTTGTGAGACTAAATGCAACCCGATACTCAGAAGGACAGGAACACTCCAAGAGTTTATAATTGAAGTATTGTTTTTTTAAATCGTCCCCGTTATAAAATACTGGATAGAATAAAAAAAGTTTTAATATGTCTTTTTAATATCTAAAATCTTTTTAAAAAAAAAACATCCTTTTGATGTTTAAAAAAATGCGATGGGAGCCATATCTCATCATACAAGCTCATGGGGATGTGGACAACGGGGTTTATGAGTCAAGGGGCAAGGCAAATGTGTGGGGTAAATACATGTCTTGCGGCATTTCTTGGGACTACACATGATCATTTATATATTAGAATAGGATGGGAGATTTATGTTTCTTCTAACTTACCAAAGTTTGATATCTGCAGTACAAACCATGTCCTTGGGAGGAGTGCTTTTGACAGGATTTGTCTTATCGGGACAACGAGGTGGGAAGGTTTTAGGACAAGGTACATCTGTAGGATATTCACAAGTGTCGCTACATTCTTCCGGACTGCCACCCATATAAAAAAGATTTTCATATTTAATTAAGCAAAAACATACATGACTTACTCCCCTTTTATGTCGCTCACTTACCAGGGAATGATACTCTGGATGCAGACAATCTCATCATCCTCACTAGGATCAGCAGGAGGATATTTAACTGGATCTGTTGCTTTGGTAGGACATGTGGGTTGATATGTCTTGGGACAAGGTTTATCTGGGTAGATACATGTCTCACTACACTCTTTAGGGCTGACATTGTATGAGAATAAAATATAAAAAAAAAAAAATTCAACGGTTGATGTGATAGAGTCTTACCATGCTATAATGCTTTGAATACAGACTATGTCATCCCCTTCAGCAGCGTGAGTCAGAGTGACAGCAAGGGTAGCAAAGGCAAAGAGAGTAGCAAAAGTAAATTTCATATTGATTGTTTATGAAATGAAACAGAAGAGAGAGAGAGAAAAAGAAGCTTGTATTTATATCATATAAAAAAAAAAGGTACGTCAAATGTAATGCGTGTAACCCCCCTTCTTTATTCTGACCGACAAGCAGAAAAATGCAGGTGTTTATTATTATTTTCAGTGACGGAATATCACACACACACAACACGGCATGAAAATTTTAAAATAAGAAAAGGGCCGATTTGGATTCCGGTAAAAAAAAAATTATATATACATAAAAAAAGATTTTATTACAAAAAGTTAAGACCAAAACCAAATTGAAGCTTGGGTTCAGGTAAATCCGTACCAGCGTATTTCAAAGGTATACAGTAGTTTGCTTCCAAACGAGCGATACTATGATGGAGGATCAAACCGAAACCGACCGAAGTACGAGGTGTCTCGCTCAAGTCTTTGATGGTATCGCTGGGAGTACCTGCACGTGTGACAATGCTACCAGCATTAGCAAATGCATGTGCCTTGATGGGCAAATGAGACAACCCAGGGATCGAACTAATTAAACTAGCACCAGCAGCCCAATAACCTTCTCCACCTAACGCATCGTTTCCTTCTCTCTCACCAATACCGCCCATCTTGAATCCACGTACGGATAAAGGTCCTCCCACATAGAATCGATCGGACATATGCATCTGTTCGTTCTCCTTGTCGTTTAAAGCTGTAAAGAGACCTGCTCGGACAGAGGTACTAAACACAAGCTTAGAGTCACCTTCATCCACTAAGGCTTGATGGAAGGAGGCTTGCATCTCGTGCTTCAAGAAACTCGTATCGCCACGACCTCCCAAACCGGATAACTCTTGGTAAATGCCAAGGAAATGACCTCGGGTAGGTAAAGTGGCACTATTACGTTGATCACGCACAAAGGAGTGATAGACCGATTGCTTGTGGTTGGTACCCGATTGACTACGAACACTATAGAACAAAAAAATATTTATATATTAAGCCAAATGACGTACTGAGCATTTCTCTATAATTTTTTTTTTTGTCTTACGTAGCGGAAGCAGTAGATAATGCAGTAACTTCTCTTTCAGTGACCGCATAAGCAACCTGATGCTCACCATATTGAGTCCACCCCTAAACAACACACACTTGTAGTATCAGAATATGCAAAATAAAAAAATAAAAAAATAAAAAAAAAGAAAAAAAAAAGCTTTTTACCTTGAAACGAACACCAGAGGATTTAGCACTTTCTCTATAGGCATTGATTTGAGAATGATCTCTGATAGAGCCGTTTAAAAAGACGCCCATTCTAGTATTGGCATTACCACGGAAAGGGGTTTCAAAGACACTCTAAAAAAAAACATAGGCCATGTTGCGATCAGTCACCCTTTTCTTTTTTTTTATGTAAACCCGATTATAGTGTATATGTGATCATGATTATACCTCGACAGCAGCCTTTGTACGGTTACCAAAAGAAAAGTTGACGGCTCCTGATTCAGCGCCACCGAAAACATTACGTAAACCTACACCTCCATTCTATACACACGCCAAAAGAAAAAAAAAAGATGGTTACCAAGGGAAGAAAGATAAACAAAGTAAAAACATGGTTTTACCAATTCAGCTTGATTGTCACCGACGTTAACTTTTGTTTGAAATAAACCCTTTTCCTTTTCCTTTAAATGAAGAGTGACATCGACGGTATCGGGAATAGCGTGGTTTGTATCCAAGTAAATTTTAATTTCATCAAAGATATCGTGCTTTTGTAATTGAGTGGCGATAGTCTCTACGCGTTGCATGACTTCCTCCGTGGTGCCGGCTTTGAACACATGGGAGGTGACCGAGTTCAAGAACGAATTACGAGTGGCTGTAGTGCCTAAAATACGAAGAGCGTTGACGCGAAGAGGTGCTTCGGGTGGTGGAGCGGACTGTTTTTTTTTATTTATTTAGAAAAAAAAAAAAGAGTTAGATGACAATAGAAACTTAAACACAAAGAATTTTTTCATGTACAGTTGGAATGGAAGACATTTATGCAATAAAAAGTAAAAAAAAAAAAAAAAATAACAAAAAAAAAAAAAAAAAGATGGCTATCATTTGTTTTTTTTCTACCCGCACAGTCACACCCTGCTAACAACGGTTAATTTAGTAAACCGCTTAAATCGCGTTCCAAATGAGGATCGACCTCCACAGGGCTAATGATGGATTGATCTGAAGAATAGCCCATATCATTGGCAGCTGAAGAAGAGTTATACCGAGTTCGTTTGGAAGTAGGGGTGGTAATACTACATGTTATCCCCCATCACATTTTTAGTATGACCATGCGATGATGGATGATTTTTTTTTCTTTCTTAAAAAAAAAAAAAGTTACCTGTTATGACGTCTCAATCCTCTCATATCTAATTTTAGACTATGTCTTCTTGCTTTAAACATCTTGACTTCCTCAATAATTGTCTCCTTTATATCATCCACTGTATTTAACGACTCGAAAGAGAAATCCACTGTAGTTGCATGCACAGGCTTTTTTTTTTTTTCATAATCATCAGAACAAGGCTTCATTTTTTATTTTTTATTTTTCGTCCTACCTCATCATCGGGATCATGAAATAACTCGAAATACGGGTGCTTCAGGGCCTCTTGTACATCAATGCGGGACATGGGGTCAAACGACAAGAGTTTTTCCAATAAATCCAATGCTGATAAAAAAGTCAGTTCTAATGATGCCCGGTTACTATTTAACTTTTTTTTTTTTGCTTTACCAGTAGGTGTTGCATTAGGGTACAATTGCGAAATTGGGATTTTCTCGAATCTTTCCAGACTTTTAATATACGTTTGAGCCTACACATAGATAGAACCTGTTTAAATACAGAGTAGTCAAACAAAAAAAAGGGGGGCCTTACACGTTCACTTCCAATGCGGTTCAGTGTATCATCATCGGGGGTTCCAAGCACGTATAATATTTGGTTTAACTGGTCAACAACTAGTTTAAAAAAAAAAGAGAGAATGATGAGTCTACGAACCAATAGAAAGACAAACTACTTACAGTCTCTTCCTTTAAATAGTGGTTTGTTGCCTAATAATTCAGCAAATATACAACCCAAAGACCAGATATCAACTATATATATATATATAAAGTAGCGGGTTATTATGATTAAATAAGATATAAATAGGTGTTGCTATAATTACTTGCTTGCTTTTGTATAACTTCTAAAACTCAACATGATTTCTGGTGCTCTGTACCATCGTGTAGCGACATATTCGGTCATGAATCCTGCATCCCCTTCACCATTTCTGGTATCAACATAACCACGAGCCAGTCCGAAATCACAGATCTTTTTTTTGTGTTAGGGGACAAGTTTGTAAATACATGTCACATTCTCTCTCTCTCTTTTTTTTTTTGTTTACCTTTAATTCACATTTGGTATTTACCAAGAGGTTACAAGGTTTCAAGTCTCTGTGTAGTACCTGTAATATTTTTTTGCTTTTTAGGATTCCCCCCTTGTCTATTTATATAAAATAACTCTTTACATTGGCACTGTGAATATACTTTAATCCACAACAAGCTTGATAAATGAAGCTCTGAAAATGCTCGTCCGTCAAAGGTTGACCAGATCGAATGATCTGATGTAAATCCGCCTCCATTAATTCTTGATACAGATATCTAGTTAAAAAAAAAAAAAAGAAAGTCAATTTTTTTTTAAAAGGTCAAGGAAGTGATTCTTTTTCTTTACATTTCATTGAAATCAGAATAGTCCACTATATCCATATCAATTAACCCAATAATCTAAAAGAAACTCGGCTTTCCTATGTTAACCTCTTTGCAGATAATCAAGGCACCCCCCATTCGTTTTTTTTTTTTTTTTTTTACATTCTTATGTCCATTAAAGTGTTCCAAAAGCTTTAATTCTCTGAGTGCTCGTTTCGTCAAAATCGGTCTTTCAAACAATTTACACACCTACAACAGAACATAGACAAAAAAAAGAAAAAGGGAGGGGTGAGTTTTATCCTTTGCTATGAACAAGGGAAAAAAAAAGGCTTACTTTTTTAATAGCACACTTTTCTCCATTACGTGTATTTTCTGCTGCACTAATTCAAAAACTCGTTGGCATAACAATTTTTTATATTGTCTCTCTCTCTCTCTTTGGTGTTTACCAGACAACGCCATAAGCGCCTTGACCGATTTCTTTAACAAAAGCGTACTTTTCGTACACTTGAAAATTTTGATTAAAACAAGGTAATGAATGGTATCCCATGTTGCAATTAAAAAAAAAAAGGGGGGAGAAAGAAAAAAAAAAAAGAGTTTATAAATAAATGTTTTTCTGTTTAAAGTGATCTCGTGTGACTTTGTTATTTAAGCTTTTTTTTTTTTTCTATTAGGTATTAGTATTGTTGCATGTTGTTATCACTTTTTTTTTCCTTCCCAGTAATCCAAGTTCATTTTCATAAATAAGGTAAAACTGGTCTTGAGTCAGAGTGAGAGAGGAATTAATCAGGCAATGTATATGAAAAAGATTTTTTTTTGAAAGTTTGTGTAACTATTTCACGATTGTAACACAATCAGGTTTCAACATTTGCTAAAAAAAAAAAAAGGGACACTGTGTAAAATAAGCTATTCTGTGAATTGGATTGTTGCCTACTCCATATGACTGTTGTCTTTTTTACATGAATAACAATAGCATTGAAATAGTTGAATAGGCAACCCACTTATTTTAGAGTTCCCCCCCCCCATCTTCTCATGGATTTACCAATAACCAACGTCACACCATACACGCCGTCACATAAAATTGCTATTTTTTTTCTCTCCCAAACTTTTTTTTTTAAATCTTTTTCTTTCTTTTTCTTTAATAATATGGATTTCAAAGGAGTGTTTGTGAGCACCAAGGACTTTTCTAGTAAAAATAAAAGCATCCACCGTTTGCATGTTGTGAGAAAAGTCTCCCCCCCTTTTTTTTGCTTGCTAAATATCTTCTTCCCCCCTCCACGCGTGTAGAACTCACTGGGTTTTTAAAGAAAATGGGCGAAATATGTTTAATTACCCTCAAGGACCATCATATCAAGATGGTTGCCTATACTGCAGGAACCACCAGTACCTCTGTTTGGGTGTAAGCCATATTTCCCTTCTTTAATTTACTCTTGAAGTAACTAATGTTCCATATAGGAAAGTGGATCCTGTAAGATAGCTTTTATATATATATATATATGGATGCAGCATCGACTGAAAGATATAATCACCCGTAGGAGGCCATCTTTGCGAGATACTTATTACAAGGTACCATCAGTCTGCTGGTACAAGCACGTGACCTGCATCAAATGGTGTATGCCGTGTCTCAAAGTAAAAGTACCACGGTTGAACTAATCCACCACAATATCGAGCAGCCTTTTTTACGATTTACGTCCGAGTCTGATCATGCAGAGGAGATAGGGGAGTTAGACGTGGATCTTGTGTCTGAACATCAGGTGCGTCACATCAAGGAACCTGGTACGGATATTCCTGATGTATGTTTAACTTTACCACCCATCAATTCGCTTGTGAATTTTGTTACGGCGCATAGTCGTACGATTGAGACCATCAGTCTCTGTGCGAATAGAACGGGTTACCTGCAATTGTCCGTCAAAAGTCCCTCTGTGGCTGCTGAATTAGTCACGAACGGCCTTACCATACCACCTCTTAGTAAGTTTCCTATAGAATGAGTTGTTTTTGTTTTTTGTTGACTTTTGAAGTTTATGTGTGTGTAAATAGGTGTTCGTATCCCAGACCTTGAGGACCCTACCACCGAATTCACTGTGCATGTCAAGTCCAAACAAATTAAAAAATTTCTGAATTGCAAGATGCTGAACCTGACCGACGTCTTTTTCTCAATAAAAGACAGAGTTCAGCTCAACTTTTTTGTGTTTTTCAATTTAGGCAATGGTGCCAATAGTGTATTGACGGTGCATGTTCCTATATTCATTCAATAATAATAAAAGAAGTCGTCAACTAAAATAAAGCGGCATCTTAAAAAATATTGACAACAACAAAGCTCCTTTTTTTTTTTTGCCACCCCTTTTTTTTTTTTTCTCTCTTGTCAATACTTTTTTTTTTTTTTTTGTCATAATGTGTAAACACATTCTTAATGCACAGGTACACTATTCAGTCTCATGAAACTCATGGATGCTTTGCTTTTTTTCTTTCATCTAACTCTATAAAAAAAAAAAGGTAGCTATTCGTGCCCCTTGTTGTAAAAGATGGTTTGATTGTGCTGAATGTCATGCTGCCGTGACTGATCATCCCTTGAGAAAGACGGATGAAATGGTCTTTGCCTGTAAAAAATGTAAAAAGGCCTTTCGCAAGGACATGACGTAAAAAACTATTTCCCATTTTTTTAAAAGAAAGAAAGACTTATCCTTTTTTGATAGTGATTATGAGGAAGAGGATGAGTTTTGCCCTCATTGCGATAACCAATATGTGATTAATGCAGTTACGCCTGAAGCTAGAATTGGTATTGAGACTGAAGATATTCGTGTAGATAACAGGTTTGGGAAGAAAAAGAAAAAAAAGGCAAAAAGAAAATAAGGGTTCTAAATAGAATATTTTTCTTTTTTAGAGTGGTGAAGGATGATCGCTTCAGGGTGAAAACCGAGCAAATTAACAATATCTTTGATATTGATGGATCGCACATGTTGGGTTAAATAGCAATACCTCCTCCACACACACACACACACACACGGGAAACAAACAAAAAAACTCGTGCTAATTATATATATATATATAAGAAAGAGAGGGATTCGTTGGTTAAAAAATAAATATACATATACAGAGAAGAAAAAAAAAAAAAAGGGAACGGGAAGGGTAATTATTTATTAATATTAAGGCTATTTCTTTTTATATATATATATATGTATGATTATTTTTTTGTTGTGGTTGCTAGGGTACTGAGGCCAAGTTGGTTACCAGCATGACTATCGAAGAGCATGCGTAGACCTTGCTGTGGTTTTAATATGGCAGTAGTAGTGGATTGAGGACCTAAAGGAGGGGATTGGACATAGGGTCTTTTATTAGTCTGAGAGACAAATGAATGATCATCATCGTCCTCCGTATTGTAAAAGGAAAGTACACTGTTTCTTCGGGATGTACTGGTGGTGGTAGATGAGGAGGTAGTTGATTTCACAAGTCGGGGTTCTTGTAACATGTGAATCGTACCTTGAGCCTGCTCAAGCATCTGTGTGTATTCAAACATGCGCTTCACAATATCGTGCACACTACCCTTTTGCTCACGTTGATGATTCTCAATCGACACAAGTCGACTTTGCAATTGATTATTTTCGTATACAACCGAGGCTAAATCCGAATACATGTTCCGAATGGCTTGCGTCGCAAATACATCCGATTCCTTTTGTGTCTTGACTGCTCGTTCTAGTAATACTTGAAGATTCACATTGACTTCCTCTGTCGCTGTTAAATCTTGTTCTATCTCGACTGATCCTAAAAAAGTTAATCTTTTATTCTGTACTAAATAAATAAAAAAAAGAGGGCATGATGAATGACTTACACACTCTATCCTTGGATTTTTCCTATATAAAATTTTATTAATTTTTATTTTTATTTTCACTTCCCTTTTTAAAAAAGAGGGACATACCAAATCTACGGCAATACCATCCATTTGCTGTACTAATCCGGCCATATTGCGTCGAAATTCCGCCAATTCTTCCCTTGCTTGTTCCATTTCTCGTAAAAACTGCATACGTTCTGTTGCATCGAGTGAGTTGGTATGAGCTTGCTGAGTGATGGAAGGTGTAGAATACGACGAGGTGGGCTTGATAGAATAAGTAAAAAAAAGAGTCCATTTTTGTTGATTTATAATCAAATAAAAAGAAAAGAAAAAATGGCATACCTTGATATCTTCTTGTGTTGAGAATTTATAATCGTCTCCATAGTAGTCGATACAAGCTTCTACAACGCTCGATCTTCGTTCATGCACAAGGTTTTCTGCAATTAATGTCAATGAGGATGAAAAAAAAGGTAAAAAAAAAAAAAAAAGGGTAGTTATTTTTTATTTTATTTTTTACCGTTGGATGTCTCTGCTTGGTTATGATTAGGATAAGGATGACCGTAAGACTATTCAGAGATGGTGAATTTTTTTTAAAAAAAAAAACTCCCCCATTTTAATTATTATTTTTTTTTTATTTTTTTACTTGGGAAATCACCTCGGAATCCATTTATCGCTTCATAAGGTAAGAGAAATATGAAAGGGACGTGAAAAAAATAAAAAAAAAAATTAAAAAAAAAGAAAAAGTTTATATTCGACCAATTGCATATCTTCAATCGTCGTTTAAATTGATCTTGCTGCTGCTGCTGCTACTACTTGTTGCTTTTGGGCCTTAATCACACATTACACTGGGGAGCCTAAAAATACCCCCCATTTTTGTCAATTATTACCAAACTGTAATAAGATAATAAATGACCTTCTCTTTTGTAGTATGAACCACCCTACCACCACCACCACCGGGTTTCTACGGCACATGACATCATAGTGAACGGACACTTTTTTTGTGTGTGATAAAGAGAAATGGGTGACTTTGCTTTTTTTTTAACCTTCCGACCCTATTGGTAATCTGGGGTAAAAATATATAGGTCTTAAAAAAAAAGTCCCCTGGGGGGGTTACTATTACCTGTTTCTACGATAAACACACACCACAAAAAAAATAATTTTAGAACATGCAACCTTCCACAACATTACGTGCTGTTCATAAGCCCTTGATTCATTTCCTTGGTCCCAGAGCTAGTCTCTGGAAAGGTAGGAAGAGAGAGACTTCTGATCGTTTTTTTTTTTTTTTTGACTAATGGCATTAAACTCCCTAAATCACTATTCTAGATGCACCTCATCACACTGGTCCTCACCCTTTAACACCTGCTAATCTTGTTAAGCACGTTGCTAAGGCTAGTACTCCCGCCACTCCTCCCAAGGCTGCTAGTGCTACTGCTGCCTCTCCCAAGGCCACTGTTGGTGCCTTGGAATTCAGTCAGTTGGCTGCTCGTTACCGTCGCGCACCTATTTCCGAGGCAGAAATGGAAGCTATTGAGGTAATTTTATTTAATATAAAAACAGCTAGAAACAGACACGAGCTTAGATATTAATCCCTCTCATTTTTTTATTTTATATCCCTCTCCTAACAGAGTGGTGGAGCTACTTATATTATTTAAAAGTGGGGGATAATAATAATAATAATAATAAAAAAGGTGTAGAATTTATCTATTCTAGAGAGTTGCAGCAACACATTCAATTTCAACATCCACATCTTTGGGAAGACGAGCTACCTGTACAGCACTACGTGCAGGCTGATGATGAACAAAGAACTTTTTTTTTTTTTAAAAGGAGATTGTTGTTTTAGTGTTTTATAACTGGTCTTTTTTTTATTATTATAAAATGTGTAATATAAAGTTTACCTTTGCATAGACAGCATTCATGGCTGCAAAATCATTCATGTCTTTTAAGAAAACCGTTGTCTTGACAACCTGATCCACACCTGAACCTGATGCCTTTAATACCTCAACCATATTAGTTAAACTTTGGTGGGTTTGCTCTGTGATGCCACCTGCGATAATCTCGCCTGTTTGAAAGATGGGGGGGGGGAGGTAAGGGTTATTTATAGATTTGGCTTGAAGGGGAGGGACATTCTTTTTAAAATTATTACCAGTGTCTGGAATCACAGGGAGGGAGCCTGAGGTATATACCATGCCATTGACCTTGATAGCCTGAGCTAAATATATATCGAGCGTCTCCAGTTATTTCTTTGTTTCCATGCTTTTCCTCCCTTTTTATATATCAAAAGACTCACCATAAGGTCCAATAGCAGCAGGTGCCTTTGTGGTTTCTAGTATTGATTGTTAGCTAAAGGGAGTGATAGGAAGAAAGGACGGACTTACGAACACGGGTTAATGTAGACAAGGATCGGGTAATGAGTCTATTCATGGCAGGTAATTTTCAAAAAAAGAAAAGAGTGAAAAGTTTTTTTTCCCGTGTACAAAAAAAAAAAAAAAGGCTCAAGAGGGGACAATAAGGTTTTTTTAGAAGTCAGATTTGGCAAGTAGAAGTTGTGTGGTAGATCAACAAAAGAGAGTGAGACCCGAGAGAGGAGAGAATATAAGAGAGAGAGAAGGAGAGTTTTTTTTTTATTATCATTATTATTGATAATGTACATTGTCGTCGACATGGCAATTACTGCTTTTGGGAATGTTGGTAAATAGATATGAAGATGACGACAATTAGCAGCAATAGTCAAGCAAGCAAGAGTTAGTGTTATCGGATATGGCAAGTCATAAAAAAAAAAAAATGAGGTGAAACGAGGTAGGGTCAATTCGGGTGCGTGTGAACACACCTTTATTGTTTGGGTGAGGGTATCCCATATCGGAAACTTTATACCTCCTTTATTTTTTTAATTTAGAACGACCCACGCACCCGCAATTTCATATGCCTTTCTGTTCCGATATTGGCCATGAAATCTAGCCTCTTGCGTGATTTAAAAAATGTATAAATAGAGGCACTCATTTTCCCTTTTTCTTTTTTTTTTTTTTTTATTATCAACCAACATATTTTACATTAATATAAGCATACAATAAAAAAAAAGAACTTCTCCTAGTTATTCAATGAGAAGTATTGCCACAACCTATTCAACACTATTTTCAACTATTTCTTCATTATTTCATCCTCCAATTATTCTTTCTAATTAATTAAAAATATTATCAAAAATGGCTAATTTCCCTACTTGGATCAACAAAAACAAATCAACAATCAATAACAGCTCTAATCTCTCCCCAAGACAAGTGGCCAATAAGGCGTATTCTCTGGCCATCAAGAAATTGGATAAAGATGATAAAAGACGAAGACCCCAATACACTGTACGTGAAAGACTCTTGCTATCCAACACCATGACAAGAGCCGAAGATTTATTAAACAAGCGCACAAGCCGTCTCAATCGTAGAGTCTTGGCTGTTGAGCACGAGGAAGAAGTTGTTTCTTCTCCTATTCATACTCCTCCTCCACCACCACTTCCTGCCGCATTATTACCACCATCACCATCACCACCAGTAGCAGCACCTGCACCTGCACCTACACATGCACCTACACCTGTACCATCAGTACCTGTGATGACTGCTCCTACCGCAATGGCCGTCGTCGTCGTCAAGAATGATGAGGTGATGGTTACACCAGCTCAGATCAAGCATAATGAGTCACGCATGATCACTCCAGAACAGATCGCTGTCTCTTTGGCTGTGGTGGCTGTGGCGGCTTACTCTTCATTGTCCGCAGAACAAAACACCACCGCAGATTTTTTCAGTGATGAGTAAAATTTCTTAATTTGAACGTTTGTGTAAGGGAGGATGAAAAAATTGCCTTATAAAGAATTATAGTGTAACGGTTTATTTTTAAATAAATTATATTTTTAAAAATAAAATACTAGAATTTCAGTGCTAGTATTGGTAGGTAGCCGGGTTCCCAGGGTGCTACCAGCTCGTATGGCAGTATCGGTTGGTAGCCGGGTTCTCCAGGATGCTACCAGCTCGTATACTAGGCAAACGGGGACTATCCTAACCAGTTGGGCAGCCAGACACCAATTGTGCCATTTGATAGATTCAGAGACCATATATAATGACAGGTACATTGATTGGCAAATAAAAACTATACAAGCTTTGACCAGGCAGACAGACGGTTGCAGAACCAATCAGTACAGCTTACATCCCACTAAGAAAAACACTGGAATTGGATTACATAATCCAGACGGTAACGTATAGGGCCAAATTGAATGTTCTATAAAACAAATAGGAGAGATTAGCGATCATGACAAACGATTATATTATCCTACATACCTCTACGATGGTTATGTTATCTTGCTTGTCTACAGTAATCAAATTTCTATTAGAAAATTTTCTTTTTGCGCGATTACATGTCATAAAATACCTTATAAATCATTTGGTCATGGGCCGAACACGAACGTGATTCTCTATAGTGTAAAATAACAATAAGAAAACACATTACTTAGATAAGTTATTCATATTTACCAGTTAATCGCAGGTTATGGTCTATACGGGTGAAACGACATTGGACTTTATAAATGGACATGTATTGTCTTACTATTCTCCTGACATTCTTATAATATTGATCGGAAGCTATGAAAATGTTAATCTATATATTCTGTAGCAGTAGTTGCTCTAAATACCTCGTAATAAGTTCAATCAATGTAAAAAAAACAAAAAACGAATGAAGGTTATTGAAGAAAACTTAATAAAAAATTTTTACCTTTATGCCAAAAACAGTCACCATTAAGAGTATTTGAAAGGTCAAAGGCCAAAAAGAGAAGCTGTTCCTTTTTCTTAATTCAAGATGTTCGAACATAAATTCCGTGGAATCAAAAAAACTGAAAAGGCTCGCCAAACAATTTATTGTGCTGAATGCCAAAAAACAATAGTTTCACAGAACATCAAGCGTCACTGTCGTACTGCTGGTCACCAAAAAGCACTGTCAGCAAAAGTCACTCCTATAACTCCCAGTAACATTTCGATTTCTGAAGATAACGACCCCGAATCAATTGTTGATTTATCAGATGAAAACATTCAAGTATCCGAAGATCTGTTATTGAACAGTATTGAGGATCAGTATAACGAGGAAGATATTGAAACTTCTAGTGAAATCGATGATAATGATTCTGATGATGAATCAGAGTCAGAAAGAGAGCAAGTCAATGAAAGCACACTCAACGGCACTGCTACCGAATTTTTTGTTGGAAGATTTAGTGCAGTTCAGAACGAAGCTAATACCGAAGATGCAACCAACGATATTAATACATTTAATGGTATGGTACCCATTTGGGAGGCCTCCTCTGGTGTTGAATGGAACAACTTCGTTGAATCAAACTATCCTTTCAACACTACCCAAAATTTTGTTTTGCAAGCTCTTGTAAATGGAGACGACGACCAGTTATCCAGAAGACAATTAAAGAAAATGCTTTACACCATGAACTTGTTGCTCAAATTAAAAGATAATGCTGTAGAAGAGAACAGAAGTTTCGAACTTCCGGCTCTGGACAATCTTTGGAATTATCAATCTCGCAAAGGCAATAATATCCCTGTTTTTAAAACGGATACAAAAACTACCACTGTCAAAGCCTTTAATAAGCTCCAAAATAAAGATGAAATGGTCGAAAGAAAAGTCTTCTTGAATCTGCCTTCTGAGCATATCAGACTAGCAACATCGAACCCAACGAAGGCCAGTAAAATTACCAAGCTTCCCGATCATACACCTGATCAATCGCTTGATCTTCATCAAGGTAAAAAGTGGAAAGAAAACCCTTCATTCCAACACCCTATGGTAACTGAAATGGGAAAAGATTACTGGGTTGGAGACTTTGTCTACTTGAGAAGTAAAGACCTTTTCTTGATCAAGTCGTTTCATACAAAGAATCAAATTCGACTCGCTGCAGGCTACCGTGTTTTTAAGCAAGACGATTGCTTTGGGATTTCAACAATTACCATGGAGATTCCCTTGGTCCAATTAGGAGGACATTACGAATCCAATGTATGCGGTAGCAAATGCTTTTCTTTGGATTGTGATGGTCAAGGACTGGATTATTTGCATGAATCTTTAGTTCTTAGCAAATCTCCTTTGAAACGTAACAAGTGTGACAGCAATGGAAACGTTGTTCAGAATCAGTATTATAAAGTCAAGGTAACGCCAATTACTTTATTTTCTGATGACTATTCAGGAAATATGTCAAAGCAGCACAATCCGTACGAAAGTTGGTCTATGAACTTTGCTGGATTGCCTTTTGAAGACAGATCGAAAAGGGAAAACACTTGCTTCATTTGGACGGCGCCCAAGACAGATGGAATTAATGCCTTAAGTATCATTCCTTTCATTGTTGATGACTTAAAGATACTTGAGAAGGGTGTACTAATGTATTCAGCAGAAGAAAATGAAATGATTCTAGTAACAGCGCCATTAATGTTCATTATGGCCGATAACCCAGCCCATTCAGACATCTGCGGCATACTTGGGATGACAACAGTTTTTCCGTGTAGAAAATGTTACTTCCGTAACATTAAAAAGCGCAAAAACGAAATTTACGCAGTGACTCCTGAACAGTTACTCGCCAAATACAATAATAGAACCAAAGGCGACTATGTTCTCGCTTTGGATCCAAATGCAGTCATCACCAATGCTGTAGAATTCCCTGTTGCAGCAAAGCTTTTGAGCTATCGAAATCTTGGTGGGAGTGAAAGATTACTAGAATTGGCCAGCTATAATCCTGCAGAAGATACACCAGTGGAAATTCTTCACACAATTTTGCTTGGTGTTGGTAAGTATCTCGTGAACCATTTGATAAAGGTGACACTTTCAAAGAACAAATCGGCCATGGCGATCTTGATAACTGCAGTGAAACGCTATGAATCCTGCAAAAATTACAGCCGTAATTTCTCAAGACAGCTCAAACATTGTGGATCGTTTCTTGGCCGAGATTATAAACAATTGCTTCAAATTCTGCCATTGATCATTTCGCAATTATTTGTCGATCCAGTTCGTGATGCTGAAATCATCGAACTTAACAAGCCTCTAAGCAAGTTGGGTGAGCTGTGCTCATTAGTTTTTGTCCGTCGTGTGCACATGGGGTTTAGTAAGTATGTGAATGATGTGCATGAAGTCATACATGAGTTAACGAAGAGAATCCATGCCTTTGATCTTGCAATCTCAAACCCCACGCCATATTCATGTAAACCTAAGATGCACCTCTTGCATCATCTTCGTGATGATCTGATCAATTTTGGGTGCGCTTTACACTATGAAACAGAAAAAGGTGAGCAATTCAACAAATTTTTACGTGAACATCTATTCCACACAAACAGAAAAGATACGTCCAAAAGCCTTGCGCTGAAATTTGGTAAGCAAGAGCTACTTAGACATATTGTCGATGGAGGGTCTTGGGTGAGCAAAGATATAAAGAGGGTCCGGTACGGCTCGAAGCTCAAAAATTATATTGATATGGCAGGTGATGACTTTTTCTTGGAAATGTTTGGTAGCTCCCGTGAGTTTGCCGATAACAACTACTCGGGGGTAAATACCTTTTCAGTGGGTGTTTGTGGTTTGTTTTCTGTCTGCATAGATAACAACACATCAGTATTTGTAGGTGAGATCACCAAAAACAATGGTAAATTGGTTACTTTGCAGCGATTTCAACCTGATGTTACTGGTAGAACCGGACAGCCTATTAGCTGCACAACTGATGGGTTTATCGAAATTGAGGCAGATAAACTTATTCCAAAGGGTGCTCTTGATATGTTCAACAAAGATGTCAATGGAAACAAGATTATCAACCCATATAAATTTAACACAACTATGCTCCTGACACAGCTTAAATAAAGAACATCTAAATATTTCAAAGACAGGGATTTCGTGCAACAAACACACCTATTTATGAGCATTCTAGTTGCACACGACCATTGTATTTTTAGCTTTTTTATTATTTTCTATTTTTTTATTTTTCAGCCAATCAGATCATGAGGATACAAAAATTTACTTGTAATCGACTAAAAAATCCGCGGTGGTGAAGGCCTTATTAACTCGAGATTACTGCAGACCCATCATGATACCAAACCATTCTACAATGACAGCTCTAACTACCATCATTTAAAAAAAAATATATATATATATTTTGTTTCTAAATTTCTAAAATAAATAAATAAAAAAAAAAATTTATTGTTTCTCTCTCTCTCTCTCATTATTCACGGTTTGTCCCGTTTGCACGTTTCCCCCGACTTTTTCCGAGAAGCCTTACCCCAGATTTTAAAAAGATCTGATAAAAAAAAAAAAAAAAAAATTAGAATTTAGCTCTCTCTCTCTCTTTCCTCTCCGATGGATACTTTTTCCCCGTAAGACCCTTCTAAAGTAAAATGCCGAACGTGCGTTTTTTTTTTTTTTTTTATACACGTGATGTCTTTTCAAGTGGCTGAGTCTCTTCTCTAAAATAAATTCATTCCGCGGCATTTATACACAAGTGACACTTACCACGTCTTCTCAAAAAAAGACTCATTTAGTAGAATCCGTTTTCATTTAGACCACCCTTACCTACATGATGGTTATTTTTTTTTTTTTTTTTTGGCCGTGTGAAATAGTTTTTCGAGCATGAATTAAAGGGTTTTTTTTTTTTTTTTTATCTCACGTGTAAAAGATTGATAGATAATATTTACACATTTTGATTACACTGATCTTACTCATCGATTTCTATCTCTGACTATAAAAAAAAAATTGTCTTGGAGATAAAAGAGAAGTATTGTCATGGGTACACATTTGGATGGGTTATTGCACAGTGCTTAAATATTACCCTAAAAGGAACGCTACGTGTGAATGATTTCATGTGTGTTGGAATGGACATGATCCCTTTAAGAGTGGATAAAAAAATTGTTCCGCGGTAAGTCACATGAGAGAATGTACCGAGGAGGGAGGAGGAGGAGATGAGGGTTCATTGAATAATAAAAAAAAAAAATGCCGGATAACCCAACCAGTTGCGTAGAACATGTGCATGCATATGGGGGGGTAGGAGAACTCTCTCTTTCTTTTTTTTATTGATAAATGTTTAAATAAGGAAAGAAAGTCGCCTTATTTTCGTCCTTCGTTCCAATCGGGCCTCGATATCCACAAAGACTCTAGAACGTCCTACGTGTAACTTTTCTTCTTCACTTGAATCTTCTTCTTCTGTACTTGGGTTTCTGTACTCGGACCCTTCAGAGTCTGAAGAATCCGTTGTATCGGATACGTCGTTCTTTTGTTTATTGTCGTCATCGTTGTAGCCTACTAGTTCCTCCTCCTTCTTTTCATTGTCATGACAATCATTCTTTTCTTCTTCGTCATCCGAAGATACTTCAATGACTTCTGTCAAGGATGGTTTCATCATAGTAAAATATAAAAAGAGTTGTGTGAATTAAAAAAAAAAGAGAGATACGTGAGGGAGGGTTCTCCTGTTTTTATAATGAACGCCCTCACTATTTACTTGTAACAGCTTTATTTTTTTTTATGTAATAATGCTCTGTTACAAATAAAATTCTTCAAGGCCCGCTTTGACCTGTATTTTTCGAAACGGACTTTTAATCTTCTGTTGTGGGTGGGTGGCAAAAAGTAAAAAAAAAAAAAAATTGAACCCTTTTTATTATTTTAATCATCTAAATATAATGAACTTTGACGAAATTGAAGAACAAGTAAAAAGAAGAAGAAGAAAAAAAAAGGAAAAAGAATGGGACATCTAAAAGGTTTTTTTAATCAAAATGTAGGACGGAATCCGTTTCTCGTGGAATGCTTGGCCATCTTCACGTACTGAAGCTACTAAAGCTGTTGTACCTATCGCCTGTCTTTATACACCTTTAAAGGAACGCGAAGACTTTGTAACAAACCCTATTTGGTATGAGCCTGTTGCCTGTAAAGCTCCCTGTCGAGCCATCTTGAACCCTTACTGGTAATTAAGAGTTTAGATTGTGTGTATTTATTTAATTTTCATCTTACAAAAACTTGGGTTGTCTAGTCAAATCGATGTACGTGGAAAACTTTGGATTTGTCCCTTCTGTCTTCAGAGAAACGCACTTCCACCTCACTACAAGGATATTTCCAACACGAATCTTCCTGCCGAACTCTTGCCTAAATATACCACCATCGAATATAATTTGAACCGCGTCGCTCAAATTCCACCCATCTTTTTATTTGTTGTCGACACTTGTCTCGAAGAAGAGGATTTAAAAGCTCTCAAGGAAAGTCTGATTGTCAGTTTGAGTTTATTGCCTGAGTATGCTTGGGTTGGTTTAATCACATTTGGCACAATGGTAAAGAAAAAAAAAATTATCAATACAACAACAAAACAAAAAAAAAACTGAACCAATGTGATATAGACACAAGTCCATGAATTGGGTTTTGCCGATTGTCCCAAATCCTTTGTTTTCCGTGGAACAAAGGATTATGCTGCAAAGCAAATTCAAGAAATGTTGGGTTTAACTAACAATCCTTCTCGTCCTGCTCCTGGTGCTTCTGCTCAACAGAACAGACCTGGTCCTCAAATGGCTGCCAACAGGTATATATTATATAAAAAAAGAAAAAGAACTGAGATAAAGAAAGAGGCACTAACCTTTTCGTCGTTTTTTTTTTAAAAAAAAGATTCTTGCTTCCTGTCAAGGATTGTGAATTTGTATTGACATCCATCTTGGAAAATCTTCAACGTGATCCTTGGCCCGTGGCCGATGATAAGCGACCTGAAAGATGTACGGGTGTTGCTATGAGTGTTGCCGTGGGTCTTTTAGAGACTTCTTTCCCCAACACGGGTGCACGCATGATGTTGTTTTCCGGTGGTGCTGCCTCAGAGGGACCTGGTATGGTTGTCAGTAACGAATTAAGAGAGCCTATTCGATCTCATCACGATATCGAAAGAGAGTCCGCCAAACATTATAAGAAGGCTACCAAGTTCTATGAGGCATTAGCCAAGCGTGCTTCACAAAATGGACATACCATCGATATTTTTGCTGGTTGTTTGGATCAAATTGGTTTATTGGAAATGCGATCGATGGTCAATCATACAGGTGGATTCATGATTTTGGCGGATTCTTTTAATACGGCTATCTTTAAGCAAAGTTTCCACCGTATTTTCCAAAAGGATGCTCAGGGACATTTGCAGATGGGTTTTAATGCGACGATGGATGTACAAACGACGCGTGAATTAAAGGTATGTGGTATGATTGGTCATGCCGTATCTGCCAACAAGAAGACAGCCTTTGTGGGAGAAACCGAGATTGGTATTGGTAACACTTCAGCCTGGAAGATGTGTTCCTTGAACCATGAAACCACGAATGCCGTGTATTTTGAGGTTGTCAACCAACCTTCTGCTCCCTTCCAAGCAGGTTCGCGTGGATTGATCCAATTCGTCACGCATTATCAACATTCTACCGGTCAATTCCGTCTTCGTGTGACCACCGTAGCTCGTAACTTTGCAGAGGGACAGAGTCCAGAGATTGCCAACTCATTTGATCAAGAGACCTCTGCTGTTCTTATGTCACGTATTGCTGTCTTCAAGGGCGAAATTGATGATGGACCCGATGTGTTACGCTGGTTGGATCGTATGTTGATCCGTCTCTGTCAACGATTTGCTGACTATCGTAAAGACGATCCTCATTCTTTCAGATTGTCCGAAAACTTTTCAATTTATCCTCAGTTTATGTTTCATTTAAGACGTTCTCAATTCTTGCAAGTCTTTAATAACTCGCCCGATGAAACTGCATTCTACCGGTAAAAAAAAAAAAACTTTATATATTTGTTTTTGTTTGTTCATTGTCCACTGAAACTTCTTTTTTATAGTCATACTTTGAACCGTGAAAACGTGGATTCATCACTCATCATGATTCAACCTACATTGACATCTTATAGCTTTGACACACCACCTCAACCTGTATTATTAGATTCGATCTCGATTAAACCCGACGCGATTTTATTATTGGATACGTTTTTCCACATCTTAATTTTCCACGGTGAGACGATTGCACAATGGCGTAAAGCAGGATATCAAGACCAAGAAGGATACGAAAACTTCAAGGCTCTGTTGGAAGCCCCCGTTTTAGACGCCCAAGACTTATTGTTGGAGAGATTCCCTGTGCCTCGTTACATTGATTGTGATCAAGGAGGTTCTCAAGCTCGTTTCTTGCTTTCCAAATTAAATCCTTCCACCACGCATACCTCAGGCAGTCCTTACAGTGCTGCTGCAGGTGCCGTCGTCCTCACCGATGATGTCAGTTTGCAAGTGTTTATGGAACATTTGAAGAAGTTGGCCGTTGCTGGTGCCTCTTAAAAAAAAAATTTATTACATACATAAAAAAAAAAAAAAAAAATGCACATCATTTTTTTATTAAGTTTTTTTTTTTGTATTTCCAACAATTGAGGTCTGTGCATAAAATATTGGGCGCGAGAGACATGTCTGGGGGGACAATCACTCGGAAAATTGAGTCACCGGATCAACCGGACCAACCGACGTAGCCAGACTGGCTTGTTGGTATTTATTTGATAAGTCATACCTTTTAAACGAAATGATGTTAGTATCTGTACAATTATATGTGTTTGCCGTCGCCATACTTATGTGTATTATAAAAGGTACGCCTAAATGGCGGAAGCGGCTGAGCATCGATCGAGACTATGGAAGAAAAACCAATTAACCCAATGTTTTTTGCACCGTTTTGATCACGGTTAATGGTTGTTGATTTTGAAGAGATTCTTCTTGGGCACTTCGAGTTGTTGCAAACTACTGCCCCTTTGAGCCTTTTGATTTTGCCGTTTCTCCTGACAAGTTGCTTACTTGTGCAAGAAAAACATGAGCTGCATGTCACTGTTGACTTGTACTCATCAACCACCGCAAAACTGTCCAATTCTACACTTTTTAGTTGTGTTATAAAAGGGTCTAAGCTTCTTCTAGTATGACCCTTTATGTAAGTCGAAACACCAGACCAGTTTCCCAGAAATGATATGACGCTACGGTTTTTACCAGAGTTACCTAAAAGTCGGAACAGTTTCTGCCTATATGAGGAATGCAGATGCTGGTAATATCTTTTCAGACGAATACTCCTAGTGACTTGACGCTGGTTTAGATACGACGGTGTAAGCTCCTTTTTGTTTTTAATTTTTCTTTGTCTCTGTATCATGTGCTTGGTGTCTAGTATAGCGCTATTTACTCGCTTTGCCGTCAGTTCAAAGGTCACTTCATTTTCGACATCGTGGTCACAATTTTCCAGACTTTCCAGTGCGCTATACCTATTAATACTTTGAAACATAGAAGAAGATTTGGTTGCACTGATTGAAGCAGTTGTTACAACACCTGGATCTAAGCCTTGAATAATTGCTTGGCCTGATATGATGCTATTTTGTGATTTTTCAGAAAGACATATACCAGCTGTTGGGGTTGGTTCATTCTGATTATGTATCCCTTTGTTTAAGTAATACATTTCTGAGCTCTTGGTCTTGATTGATTTATTTAGAGAAAGAAGTTGACTGTATACTGCGTTACATTCCTTGCGGATGGTCTTCAAGTTTCGATAGAGGTTTGAATCACAAGTCATTGTACCTAGCTTTTGGTTTTTTCTAAAGGTCTGGCCAAGATCCATTCTAGTATTTTCTATTTCACGAACGTTTTTACTCAGACGGACTTGCAATGCTTTTTCTTCTTTAATTTCTTTGTGAAGACGTTCGACCTTCAGTTTCCTATTTTCTGTATTACTGTCCATGGAGGTGAAACTACTTGTAGAAATAACGTGCGGCACTTCTTCCTTTTGCAAGTTTTTATACCCAAGAAAGTTTAGGCTGTACTTATGACAAAACTTAAATGAATACATTGGGGTTAGTTTTTGTTCCTGGATAATTCTTTCAATCATGTTTAAATTGAAAAAGTTTGAAAAAACCGCCCTCTTGTCCTCTATGGACTTGATTGTTGCCGAACTCGTAAACATATTTACACCATCGAGCTTAAAAATGTTGTACTCTTTAGCAAATAAAAGATATAAGGTCCTGGCATCAACATTGATAGACATCTTTTGCTTTTCTTCGACCTTCTTTGGAAACATTCGATTCTCCTTAAATCTTGTACCCGTCGGACCAACAAACTTGACCAGTGAGTTTCTGATTTTGCGCATCTGAAAAAATCTGAAAGCGTTTTTCTCATCTTTTTTACAACTTATTAGTCGTAACTCGTTGACTATTCTAGCAGAAGTGTCTAATGCATGGGCGGGTATAGATTCTTGCTTATCGTAATAAAGTTGCTTTTTGATATAGGCTGCGTCTACATTTCCTTCGATGGAAGGGGACGTAATCAACATTGTGCATACTGCACACAAAGCTTTAATCTCTTTGGCTGACAGGTCTTTGACATCGTTATCATTGGTATCTAACTCAGTAACATTATCAATTATTACTAAATCTTCGTCATTCTCATTAAAATCTTCGGCGTCTTCTTTGTGTAAAAATTATAAAAACGAAGATTTTTAAAAACAATACGTATGACTGTGTCCCATTAATTATTACCTTCAAATTCGTTGGAATTATCATCTTTATTTACAGGTGGTTCCAAATCTGAACGGCCCCTCTCACAAGAATTGAAAACACCGTCGATAAGTTTCTCCACAACATGTATTTTGTTCAGCTTTCCTGCGTTATATTTTGCAATCGCGTCAAACAAATCTATCATGACCCTTTTTTGGTGTCGCTTTTTAACTGTTTTGAGGGATTTTTGTGAATTTTGTTTCTGCTTCTTTGATGCATGTGGATGGTTCAGACGATGGGATTTCTTCGGACAAAGATGCAAGCGTAAAATAAGGGTAAGTGTGACTCTCAAATCAGAAACAAATCTTTGATAGGTCCACATGTTTGAAAAGTTGGTAAAGAACTGTTTACACGCAGAAACTAAAGTTGGTGTGGTTGTAAAGTCACAATAGTTTTCGCTTGATATTTTTCTTGATACGTAGTCAATCACCCTATATGACGAGTAAAATAAGTTAGGAATCACTGCTCTCAATATAATAATTAAGCATATCTACTTACGGGTGTTTATACTCGTGTGGTTTTTTTCTACCTACTGAACTGGAAAGCAATTTCCAAAAGCCTTTAAACGTAAATATATCACTTTTTTTTAAAAACGTTTCATCACTGTCATCTACAATCGCAATTTTCTCTTCGCCAGTGTCAATTTTGAGTGAGTGAAAATCAATGAATTGAAAATCAAAAAAGGTGCGCTCTCTAGAAGGAAGAATATCACCTGATGTAATACCGTCAACCAAAATCTCCGTTGCTTTCGAAAGGCCCGAACAGCATTTATCACAGATCTCTTGCAGATCTTCGAGCTTTTTCAAAAAGATGCTATAGTCCAAGTCTTTATTAATTACTCGTTTTAGGCTTCTACTGACTGTTCTATAAGCATTATCTTCTACATCTTGGTCTTCCTTTTCATCGATTGCCGTATCTGTATCCTCAGGCGCACTATCTTGTATTGATGATTCTAAGTTTAAACCCATAATAAAGTCACTGATACATTTATCGATGCTGATTTTGCCATTTTGTTTGAGTCGATTGATTTTTTGTTGCACCCACAATGCTGACGTTGGTACATCTTCGAGCTTAACGGTCGGGAAGTGATTCTGCCTGATCAATTGCTCAATCTTTGTTTTTACAATACCAGCAGAGCCTGTTGGAAACTGTTTCGTTGATAGAGTTGATGAAAATCTTTGTATATTTTCAGATAAGGTTTTGTGCTTGTCAATTTTGAACTTGGACCATTTCTTTTGATATAATGTGTTCGTTTCTTCAACAAGCAGCCTAATTATTTCATCATCTATAACAGAGGAGACACTTTGTCTCTTTGCTCTAGGTTTTTTCTCGTCTGAGGCTCGTTTTTTAGCTACAATATTCTTGGGAATTTCAATGGTGGGGGTGGTATCATCTGACATATCTTTGGGTCTGTTTTTGAGTTCCAATCCAAACCATTCAACAGTACCAGTATACGAATTAATTGATTTTAATACACCTAAGTACGGTAAAGAGCGGTCTTGACGGTGCTTGTTGTTGGGATGAATTATTGCTGGTTTAGACCTGCTTGAAAAGCAGTAGATTGTATACCCATAGACTTGACTAAAAGCGTAAAGCAATAGCATGTCTTTTGGAATAACAGTGAGATTTGGATGCCTATTTGAATGCAACACAAAATTATTCTCCAATTTTCCATTAAGAACCCCAACCAAGTATTGTATGGGTGAAGTAACCATCATTATGTCGATATTTTCGTCCATTTGTTTACGAACTACATGTATTTTATGTTTCTTCAGAAACTTGACAGTGCTCTTAATACTTTCATTAAAACTATGCGTATAGTTGTTCATTGCATTAAGAATTATATCACGAAAACTGTTATCAATAGGTATGGTAGGAGAAGTAATGTTTATGTCAACATCTTGGCAAGAAAAACGAAGCAGCTGCTCATCTAGTTGCCCTAATCATAGACGCATTATGAAAAACAGAAAATTATAGGTAAATGAAAATTTTATGTACCTTCTCTACCCTTTCTCTTGTCCAACCGCTTTGTTACGGAGGATGCTTTAATTGTTTTAGGTCAGTCATCTATTGCTTTACTAGGAGCTAGTATCTACTTACGTTCTCCTGTGCTATTGTCGGATGGTGAATGTTTACGCTTCATTAACGAGAAGAGCACGAAAGAGAAACAATACATTGGCAACTTTGGGTTTTTTCATTAAAAAAACCAGTCTCCATTATTCATTTTATTGGTTCATACGAATGAATCTTTCCATCAGTATCAGTATCATAGCCAATCGTAAAATGTTATATTTTTATATTATTACGATGCCTTTGTACAAATTACCAGATATACACATGTATAAAAATACGGGAAAACGTATGTGTGGTAAATCGCATATGGATTAGATACAAAAAACAAATTCATATCTCGATATAGTTGATAACCGCATATAACTATTATCAAGCCCATAGGAAACTGCTAAAATACGGTCAGTAATTTAGGGTTTCACTGTAAAAGAGCAACCCGGGTAGATGAGGACTATATGTCATTGGCATCATTAGGCAGCCAAGGGTAAATATAACAACTATATATTATGCGAATCATTTCATCAATCAAAGCTACTGGCTAGACACCTTCATTTAATGACTCGAATACAACACTTCCAAAAAACGCTTCACCAACTTTTACGTGATCCGAATAAAGCGCAATTGTCATTTCATATCCATAATCATCTTTTGGCTATCTAAATTTCTGGTAGGAGTGTTTCTAATACTGAAAATTTTCGTTTCTCTTCTTGTATTCAGAAAGCAGATATTCAGGTTCAATTGTATCATGATGAAGTAGGTGAAGCTCGCGAAGTATCTTTTGAACTCTCTCTGGACCAAGTTTCAGAAGGTCTGCAAATACTTTTGACATTCTTTCTCAGTAAAAAAGAACAACATAAACTCAACTTAAATTCAAGAGGGAGCTGTTCAATGATTTCTGGATCATGCGCATTATATGAAGCATCACATTTTGAGTCACAGCATCCATATTGCATTGATTTATAAAGCTAAAACAACTAGCATTTCAAATAAAAGAAGGGGGGGGGGGGCGATTTAGCATACACAAGGTATAAAAAACCTTTTCCTGCAACACCTGAACATATCCACAATTCTTCGAGCGTGAGGCTTTTTATTGTAGCCTTTTGTTCCAAGCTTCTTAATACAATTGTTTCTAAAACATCAATCCTCCCAAACCTTTGCGGGTAATCCAAAGAAATACTCGTGGTCTACATAAATAATTATATTTTTTCTTCAGAAAAGAAAAAACGACACCAGCCCTATCCAAAAAATACCATTGTTTTATTCAGAAGAATATCGTTCGTTTATTAAACTTTGAAAGATCTCAAGATACTCGATCAGTACACTGTTGTCAGCCATCTTCCCCCGGTTGAATCTTTATATGAAACCTCAACTAGATTCTTGACTAAATCTTCAATCAATTCATCGACTGGTTCTTAGACCAAATGTGACAGTGACATTCTTAAATTTTTTTTCAACTACGAACTATTCCATATTTCTCGAAAAATTAAGAGCACTTAGGCAACTGGATTTGTACTTATGATTGCGTCGTTTAAACTGTTGACAATTCTGTTTAATGTGGGTTTTTTTCTGTCAAATCGTTTTGCGGAAAAGAAACTTCGAGGCTTTGTAGGTTTTACCAACTTTTCGCTTGGCCATTTAAAATTATTTTAGAGGAATCGACATTTAGTAAAAGTGTAAAACACCAGGAGTTTTTTATATAAAAGCCGGTAATTTCACTGTATCAATTATATTGTTTTTTTACTAGCGAAGCAGTCCCCCCAGACATGTCTCTCGCGCCAAATATTGTATCTCAGCCTTTTTTTTTTTTCTTTTTTCACAAGGCGTTTTCTTCCTGTGTGGTTGGCATGTCATCCATTTGCACGGTGGGTTGAGCGTCCTTTAAGACAATTTTCACTTTTCGTACCTCACCATCCGGACCGACCATCAAACAATTCGAAAGTCCCCCATATTCATTTTTATCCGCTGGACTCTTTCGTCTTTCAGGACTCACCATACTACTTCCCAATGGTTCACGAGCACATGGCACGAGTTGCCAACCCGAACCCACATGAAACGCACCGACTTGGTTCCCATGACGCATCTGAAAGATCTTGAGATGGCCACGTTTCGATGTATACATGACCAAAAACAACAACACCTTCTTGGGTACGGTACTTTCGACCTGATATAGTTCATGTTCAAATACCTCGACCCAACCACAGACGGCATCACGTACACCCTTCCACATGCGAATCATGTCACCTTGCAACACATCCCATAAAATAACACGACCCAATGCGTCACATGTGGCAGCCAAGGTCTGGCGTTGTGCGCTGGTGGAGGGAGGACAGACGGAAATCGTATTGATCTGTCGCAAAGGATCATTGACGGATAAGATGGAAGGGATGACGGTAGCAGGTTCAATATGACTGGGGGGACGATGCATCTCGGGGACATAAGGTGTGGGTGATTGAGGTCCGGACGATGGATGTGTGGTATGACCCCACCAAGATTTTGCAAATGAAAATACGGGTGAAGTGACACGCGAGACGACATAGCTGGCCATGGTCGTAGGTGACATGAGGGGACGACTCGATTCGGATGTAGCGTAATAAGAAAGCATCGGTTGTGATCCTACAGCGATATAGCGCGAGGTAGCATTTCTTGATGAAGGGAGGTCTGCTGTGGTGGTGGTGGTGTTGGTGGGATCGAGAAAGGGAGTCATGCTATAAGTAGGGGAAGGACCCAAACTAATGATATCCTTCACCTCCTTTTGGTGTTGTAAGTCCCATTTTTTGTAGGTGAAAGCGGTATGCATACGAGAAGCATCAATGCCACTTTCTCGTTGACCATCACATACTCTCAGTACCATCCAAAGACTTTGTCCATCGATACTGACGACACGGTTACCCCGAAATAAGATGGTGATGTCTTCGTCTTCCGTTAATTTATGACCCTGCGATACTTTGACTATGGGTGGTGGTGTTCGGATTTTGATGCTAATGACAGGTGTCAGTTCTAGTTGTTGTTCGGTTAAGAGTGCACCAAGCTAATCATATATCAGTTTTTTTTTTTTTGTGTGCGAGTTATTTCCTCCTCTCTCTCTCTCTCTTTTTTTTTTACCTCTGAAAACACACGGACCCAGCCTGTGTTATAACCACACATGACATAATTTATACTAGAGAAAGAGAGATGAAAAAACAATGAGTGATGAGGAAGGAAATCGTTTGTCAAGACAATAAAACATTACGTTAATCGAGTGGATGGTACAAATAATGGTAGACACAATATCGATGTGATCTCTTCACTACCAAGTAAAAAATGTTGGTGGTGAGATTTTTTTTTTTTTTTCATGCGTTTTTTTTTTTAAAAAATCTTTACCCAGGTTGTTGACAACCAGAACCTTGACCTATAGCGGAATATTCACCTTCGTTATTTAATTTGACCATGACGAACTTTGTCTTGTAAGCTAGTAAGATACTCTTTCCTCCTGCTGAACAGGATATTAAATAGCTATCATGGATGGGTATGTTGGGTGAAGGCGATCGTGTAATAATGTCGGCTGCCGAAGGCACAGGTTCCTAATGAAAAAAAAAGAGTAAGTTTTTTTTAAAAAAAAAAAAGAAAAGAAAGCATTCATTCAAACCTCATCCATGTCATCCATACCGACTTTATTCCAACCGTCTGTTTATCACCATTAGCTTCTTTTTTTTTTTTTTTACCTAATGGGGAGCCTGAAAAAAAAAATGTCTTTTTTTTTTATTTACCTTCTTTGGGTGCTTTAATAATTTGTGAGTCTTCTAACGTTTCGTCCGTGACATCTTTAATAGCGCTGGAGACTTGGGGTAAATTACCCACAAGTATAGACAATATGGGAAAAGGTATTTTATAATGTTCCTCTAGTAAACATTTAAGTCTTTTTGTTGTTGGCATTCTTTTGGATCGTTTTTTTTTAGAAAAAAAAAAAAAAAAAGAAAGGAAAAAAGAAAATCATGTGTCGTCCCCGCTCCTCACAATCACTCCCAATTACCAACGGTAGTACAATTATGTAAACTAAAAAAAATTCGCGAATTCGTGACAGATCAATGCATAAAACAAACCAAAATTCGATCCTAGCTGGATGGCTGAGATCTTATCTATTGGTGTGTTGCCATGTTTATTAAACAGCAGTAATATACTTTATTTGCAAATGATGATGACATCTGATACCTTTTATATATTGAAACA